CAGGACTTTACTATTTGGAGTTTTAGTAATTCTCTCTGTGTATCTCTGTCTGTCTGCCTCTGCATGCCTCTCCTCTGGAAACTGGGGAGTCCAAGACTTACAGATGACTGCTTGCCAGCTTGGCCCACATGGGGATGGCTGTACAAGTGAGGTACCACCTGGCCCTTTGCCTCCTACCGATCTAACCCACACAAAGTGTGTCAGGAAGACCTGAGGGTGTATGAACAGCAGCCTTCTCTTTTCTCCTCACACATAGCCGTCTCAGCTGACAGCACTGAGTGTGTATGTCTCCTGTGTCTCCTGCCTTCTCCATTTCTAACCCTGAACCTATTCAACCTCTCCAACTTGGAAATTCAGAATATTCTAAAGTAAGTTTTGTAATATGACTCACATTTATACATATCCAACATGGCTTCCAAGAGTGCCAAATCATTTCCAGCTGCTCTGGCATACATTCCCAAGGAAGCACTCTTTGTTGTTCGGGATGTGTGTGGGTTTGTGAGTGCCGTGACGGAAGCAGCAGAAACCAATTCCTTCACTGCTGTGGAGTCGGGGAGTCAGGTTGAGGTCTCACCCAGGTTGCTTTCCTTTCACCCCCCCCCCTTGTCTGGCAGATGGCTATCTTGTCCTGTACCCTCAGATGGTCTGCCTTCTGTGTATGTGCCTCCTAATCGCATTTCATAGATTATTTTATGTAATTTAACTCTTTAAAGCCTATTCCATTACAGTGATATGCTGAGGCACTAGGGGTCAGGCCTTCTTACAGCAGGCCAAAAAGTGACAAGCCTGCGTTATTCTTTCCAACCCTCCTGTGAAGATGAGGCTATTCTAGGCTGTGTCCTTACAACTGTGCCACCCACAGGGCACTGGCTGAAATACCAATGGAGTCTGCTGTGCTCTAGTCTGTAGCTGAGGATGACCGTGAGTTTCCACCTCAGGTCCTCCACCTCTCAGCTGCTGGGATTACAGGGATGTGCTCCCATGACCGCTGTATGTAACACTGCAGCTGCAAGCAGGAGCCAGGACTTGGAACCCAGAGCTTTGGGTGTGGGAGGCAGTCTCTACCAACTGAGGTATATTCCCAGCCTTACATTCTATTCTTAAGGGTGGCTGAAGAGACTGGCCCAGCGGCTAAGTGCAGAAAAGCCAAGCTCTATCCCCAGCGCCCACAAAGGGCAGCTCACACCTGCCTACCACTCAAGCTCCAGGGAATCCAGTGCACTTTTCTACACACAGACATAAAGAAAAAAATCTTTTTAAAAATTTCATCTCTAAGTAAACTTCTCAATTATTTGATGAGTGACCCCTTGATTGTTTGGTGGTCTTCATGATGCTGGAGGCTGAACCCTAGCTTTTGTGTGTGTAGGTTTGTGTGCACATTTGCCAGACAGGTGCTTGAATAGTCCATGGAGTGTTTGAACCAATCGCAACCCAGAGTGTTCCCCTCTGGCTAAGGCAGAAATGGTTTGTCCAGGCTGTCACCATAAAAGCCCAGTTTGAAGTATTCCAGACAGCCCCGACTACGATTGTGCCTTTTAGAGCCAGGGTGATGGGTGACAATCCTTTCTCCAACCCTTCCTTTCGTCTTTTCTTCATTTTTGCCCCCATATATGTGATGTATATCTGTGTGTGTGTGTGTGTGTGTGTGTGCACATGTGTGAATGAACATGTATATGCTCCCGAGGCAGGTCACTTACTGAGCCACAAGCATGTGGATTCTGGTTATTTAGCTAGCCAGCTTGTCCCTGGGATCCGTCTCAGCCTGCCAAGTGCTGGGGTGATAGGCAGACACAGCTACCCAGCTTTTGCTTTTACATGTGTCCTAGGAAGCAAAATTCCAATCTTCACATTTTTCAAGGCAAGTGCTTTATCCAATGAGCCATCTCTCCAGCTTTTTTCCTTCTTGACAGGAGGAAAAAAGCAAAACCAACTCAGTATAGTTCAAGCTATCCTTGAACTTGCTATGGAGAGGCCAGCCTTGACGTCCTGCTCCTCCCACCCCTACTTCCTAAGTGCTGTCAACTGCAATCTTTTGCCTAGTTGTCTCAAGGTGTCCATGGAGTGTTCCAGATGGCTGGATCAGGCATGAAGATAGTTCAGTTAGCTATTTGACTGATAGTCCTTGTCTAAAGTAACATGGACAGCAGAGAGGTCAATACTGCTAACTAGGAAGTGAAGTCCTCCCTGCCCCCTGACCCTTGTGTGTTTATTACAGGAATATGAACAACAGAAGCGCTTACAAACATAAACAGCACATCATAAACACTAACAGTAATTTAACAGTGCTTAACACTTACCAAGGGCGCAGGAAGAAATAGGCCCCTCTGCTTGTCTCAGGAGTGAAGCTTGGAGAAGACTGTCTGATCTTCATTCTTGAGTTAAAGAATTGTGTCCAAAGTTTTTTCAACTATGTATTTCTGAAATATAGGAATATGTTTGCAAAGTTTTAAGGCTTAGACTTTTTTTTTAAAAAATTTGTGATGGGGTCTCACTCTTCAACCCAGGCTGACCACAAATTCATTATCGTCAGCCTCAGCCTCCCCACGTGCTGAGATCACAGACATGTCTCCAGTTCCTGCCTAGAGCCCTGTGTGAAGCAGGCCATGTTTGAGCCCTCAGATCCAGCTGCCTCTGCATCCTGATGCACCACCACACCCACTGCTGATTATATGTTTAAATGTGAAAAAACACATAAAAGCAAGAAAAAATGAAAATTACCTTTTGTGGTATTTTATATGTGAGAATGGCCTCCATAAGCTCATATATTTGAATGGTTGGTCCCCAGTTAGTGAACTGTTTCAGAAAGATTAGGATGTGTGACCTTGTTGGAGGAAGTATGTCACTGAGGATGGGCTCTGAGGTCTCAAAAGTCCAGTACATTTTTATTTAACTCCCCCCAACTCTCTGCCTCATAGTTATGGATACAAGCCTCAGCTCTTGCTCCAGTGGGATGCCTGCCTGCCTGCCTGCTGCTATGCTCCCCACTGTGACGGTCATGGACTCACTCTCTGAAACTATAAGTAAGCCCCCAATTAAATGCTCCCCTTTATAATTTGCCTTGGTTATGGTGTCTCTTCATAGCAATAGAAAAGTAACTAAGACATTGTTTAATCTCACCATCCAGAGATAATTATCAATATTCTCAATTATTGGTTCGATTTTATTTTTAAATATTTATGTACATACATGCATACATACATTCTTTACCAAATAGCAATTGTCCTATTGGGAATAGTTTGTGGCCTACTTTGTTAGCCTAATATTTCTCATATTACTCAATATTTAACCTAATTACTTTAGTTCTTGCTCTGACAAAAAATCAACTTAAAGGAGAGTTTATTTGGCTCAGTTTGAGGCACAATCTATCATAGTGGGGAATTTGAGGTAGCAGGAGCATAGAGCAGATGGTCACATTTCATCCATAGTCAGGAAGAAGAAATCAATGAATGTTTGTGCGTGCTCATTGTACATTCTCTTTTTTTATAGCCCAGAATCCCATTCCAGGGAATGGAGCTGCCCATAGTGGGCAGGTCTCCCCACAGCCATACCCAGAGGCCTGTCTTCCAGGTGATTCTAAACCTCAAGTTGGCAGTTGTGATTAAACCATCTTGTCTTAATCCCTTATGTCACTAATTCTTTTTTTTTTCCAAGACAGAGTGTCTCTGTTTTCCTGCATAATATCAAAAACAGTTCTAAGAGTTCTAAGGATAGACAGATACGGATCAAGCTGTATTGGAATGGGAACTTACAAAGTATTGAGGAATTTTTTAAAGAAAAATGTAAAATTATGAACAGAAAATTAAGTACAGCTGTCAATGTTGATTTGGGATAAGAAATTATAACCAATTAAGATATCTGCCTGGCATTTAGCAGATATGCTGATTCCAGCCTTCCCATCTAGAAAACACAACCCCCCAGTGGTTCCTTAGCACGCTCTGCTCTTGTCGTGGAGGAGAGGGAAGGGAGGGAAGGGCAGGTGTGAGCACTATCCCTCCTTATATGAGAAAACCTTGGTAGAACAAGGCTCTCAACCCTGGGAAATCAGAATCTTCAAAAGACACGGATAGGGACCGGAGAGATGGCTCAGTGGTTAAGAGAACTGACGGGTCTTCCAGAGGACCCCACATGGTAGCTAACAACTGTAACTCCAAGATCTGGTACCCTCACACAGGTGTACAGGCAAGCGAAACACCAATGTCCATAAAATAAGAATAACTAATTTTTAAAAATACACATGTACTCAGAGCGGTCTCTGCTGCCATACTCCGTCTCATTAATACCCCTGATCGTACACTTTTGCTTTAAGGATGGCAGGATGAGGCAACGTTGCTGGGGATGAGCTAAAGTAACAGAAGTTGAAGCTGTGAGAAAAGACGAGATGAAACCGTATAGGTGAACCTGAGCAAGGCGTGTAGCTGTAGTGCCGAAATACGCCTTGGGATGGCACCTTGTAAACTGAGGAAGGAAGATGGGGGAGTTGGCTGGACCCTAGGTCTTTTTACTTAAAATCTCAACTACGTCCTAGATGCGCTCTGGGTTCCCGCCACTGCAGCAGGGTTCTGGCCGCCCGAGGTAAGGCGACTGGAGCTGTAAGGAGAACGCCAGGCGCGGAGGGGGCGGTGGAGGCCGAGGTGACCGACCTAAGGGAAAGCGGCGCCGGAAGCGGAGCTTCCCGGTCCCGCGTCCACTCAGCCAATGGCTGCGCGATGCGCCCTCCAACGGCGGCTCGCGCGGCACCCGTAGGGTGGCGGCGGCAGAGGACGCCATCATCCTGGGCTACCACGCGAGCCCACGGCCGCGTAGCCAGGGTGGCGTGTCTTCCCGCATCGCTTCCCACGGTTAAAGCGCCTCAGAGCCGCCTTGTCTTTAAACTGAAACGCCTGCACACACGACAGACGAACATAGCAAACATGGCCGACGACGCGGAGGGAAAGCCGGAAGTAGGTCGTGTGGGCGGGCCAGAGGGGGCGGGGCCGGGGCGGGCCCTCGCGTGATGGGGGCGGGGCCTGCCGCCGGGAGCGGGGTTTGCGGTCAGGTGTCTAAGACACTCTCTTCGCAGCGGACTGGGGCTTGCCGCCTTCTTCTGGGGGCCGGGCCGGACCGGCTCCGCCCCAGCCAGGTGTCCGTCGGCTCCCAGGTGCCCTCCGGATCCTAGAGATTCCGGTGCCGCGTGCCTGTGCAGTGAGCCGGCAGTGATGGAGAACGCCCCCGAGTGCACGCCTTCCCCCTCTGAGTCCACACAGCCTCCCAGCTCGGCCAGGGAGCCCGAGGTGGTACCTCCCGGAGACTCAGAGGGCTGCGCCCGGCCCCTAAACACGGTCCCCAAGAAACTCTGTGGGTATTTAAGTAAGTTTGGAGGCAAAGGGCCCATCAAGGGCTGGAAATGCCGATGGTTCTTCTACGACGAGAGTAAGTGTCACCTGTACTACTCGCGCACCGCACAGGATGCTAACCCCTTGGACAGTATCGATCTCTCCAGTGCTGTCTTTGACTGCAAGGCGAACGCTGAGGATGAGGGCACTTTCGAGGTCAAGACTCCCAACCGGGTTATTACTCTCAAGGTAAATGGAACTTTTCCCTCTTTTCCAGCTCCAGCGAGTTTTCAGGGCAGATGCATGGTCACCGTAAATTGACCTGGACAGTGATTACCACCGTGTGCCCAAAGCCTGAAGCTTTCTCACAGAGCCTTTACACCATTTCCTTATTGCCTTCCCCCGGGCAAGGGTGAGAGACTCATTTTATGGACCAAGAGACTGAATCATAGAAAAAATGATATGTCTCAGACTGGGCATTTACAACGTTGTGATCCACTTTTGGAATCTTCCAGTGCTGTATCAAAACTTTACTTTGGTGGTGCCTAACTACTCAATTTCTTTGACTTACTTCCCTGGTACTGAAGCAGTCAAGTTACTGCGGTTGCATTTTTGAGGTTGGATCTGATTCATGTCTTGGTGGTTTGGCCAAAGGGATTGAAAGCAGACATGGGCCAGGGTTAGGAGGGAAAATATGTAAGTTTAGTGATCAGTCTAACTTGTTCATCAAGGCATGTCTGAACTGGTGAGCTCTTAGAAAATGTTGTTTGAATAAACACATGTGCACACTCAGTGCCAGGAGCCCCAGGTCAGAACCCACCTTGTTAACAGGAAGTGTCCCATCATGTAAATGGGAAGACAGATTCGGGCTTAGTTCTTGAGGCTCAGAAAGAGTGCAAGGATGAAGGTCTTCCTTCCCACTGCCTGGATCCATCTCCCTGTGGCCCCCACCCAACCTGCAGCTGACCAGATACTAGGATGCCCACCTTTTGAATTTTCCTTTCCTGGCAGGGTGTGGCAAGTTGACTAGGCTGTGGGGGAGGGTGCCATTAAAATAATGGGAACCCAGATTTTTAGGCCAGAAGGGAATTTTAGAAGTCATATGGGCCTTAGGTCTTCTGTTCCCTCCATCAGCCGAGCGCTGTGGACAGGGCCTCTCAGCACATGGTTTTTACTGTTCCATTCATCCACACATATGTCTGGCTCCATGCTGGGCTCTTGGGTGTGGAATAAGTCTGACTTGTTTGCTTCTGCCCCTTGTTCTCAAACAGTATTAAGTTGTGATGGGGAATCTGGCTGGCATATTTAAATGCCTGATGGAAACACTATGAACAGTTTGGACAGGAAGAGTGTGGTGACAGGAGGGATCAGCTCCTCCAAATGAGGAGGGAGGCTTTTCAGAAAGGCATCACTTGAAAGAGAAACGATGGGCTTTTTGGCATGCAAATGGTAAAGGCAATGATGCTGAGGGAGCCTATGATGGAAAAGATGGAAAAACACAATGTGACCATGAGTGTCTAGGCAAGCCACAGGTGCCCTAAGATGGAGGTGAAGGTGGAGAGACTGATGAATTAGGCACAAGGGCCTGGACTTTATCCAGTAGGTTAAAGGGGTATAATGAGATTAGAGGGTTTAGAGAGCTCAGCCTGGCCCTTTGGCAGAGAACGTATTGGGGGAAGAGGAAACTGGCAGTCTTGAGAACCCATCAGAAAATAGTCAGGAGGGAATGATGGCTGAGCAGGGGCTGTGGCCCTGGAGAAAAGACAGATGAAGGTGAGGGGTGTTAGGCAGTAGATGGGAGAGAGGGTGACTGTCTGTTTGCATGATTGGGGTAGTGCTGACAGGAGAGAGAGCCCTTATGGTGATGAAACTGTAGGACGCCCAGATCTATGTCATCTGAAGTAAGTGCTGGCCAGAAGATCTAAGGGCTGCTTCATGAACCTCAGTGTGAACCAGGATCACACATACTGGCTGTCGCAGGCTCTCCGGTGTCAGCAGAGCCTCTGACATTGAGTGGTTGCTCAGTGTAAGCATGTCAAATGAGTTGAGGTGCTGTGTTTGACTGGGGATTATCAGGTCAGGGTGAAACCTAAGAGCAATTAAAGCTTTGGAGGAACAGAGTATGAAAAGAAAAAGCTGGTCTTATTGACATCTGCATAACAGGCCAAGGGACTCTCGTAAAAATACCCCTCTTTTAGTTGAGTTCCTATTGCCTTGAGAAATACCACAACTAAAAGCAATTTGGAGGAAGAAAGGATTTATTTGGCTTACTGACAAAAATCCAAGTCCATCACTGAAGTAAGCAACAGGAAGTAAAGCAATGACCATAGCAGAACACTACTTAATGGCCTGCTCTCTTAGACCTGCTCAGCTCCGTTTTTATATAGTCCAGACATACCTGCCTTGGGATAGTATCACTCACAGTGGGCTGGGTTCTCCTGTATCATAGACATGGCCACAGGCCAATCTGATCTGGACAATTCTTCAGTTGAGGTTCTCTTTTCCCAGGTGACTCTTAGTTTGTGTCATGTTGACAGCTGAAGCTCACTGTGACAACCTCTCTCCCCACCCATGTCACACCTTATATGGGGCCCTCTTGAAAGAGTGAGCTTGCCCTGGTTGCTCTGTAGCCTTTTGCCGTTCTTTTGTTGCCTTGATTGTGGACAGCTCCATGCATGAGGCTCGCTGTCTGCTCCAGTGAGCTGCCCATCATCTGCTCACATAAGCTCATGCCTTTAAGATTATGTTTAAGATAAAGTTCCACTCTACAGCGAAAAGACCTAGTTCTTGAACCAGCCTGCCATAGCCACTACAGGTCTGGGCCACTTATTTCTCCATCTGTGAAAAGGGCCGGTCACTCCTGCCTTCTCCCTAGAAGATCCAGAAAGCTAAAGGCCATAAGACAGCTGTTTGGGCTATTAGTTGGGAAAGTCATGACTGATGTTAACTGCTAACTTGCCAGAGTGGTATAGGTTTCTAGCATGTTAACCATAGTGTGTCTGTGGCTCTCCTGTTCCGATTCGTAGTCATGAGTTGGTATGTTCCTGCAATGGGTGGGATCACCTCCTCCTACAAAAAGGCAGCTAGGAGTTGGAGATGTCACACAAGGAGAGTGGCGGTCGCTGGGCCCCTCCAGGTCACAATTCAACATTCCTTTCTCTCTCATGGCACCCCTCTTTCTCTGTCTAGGGAATGTCACGCACCAGGCAGTGTGCTGAGCATTCTGCTTCCCTTTGTCTTCATAACCACAAGTTGTATTGTCACCACAAAACAACTGAAACAGAGGCACAGAGATGTGAGGAGCCCATAGGCAGGAACCCAGAGCCTGACCGTGATGTTACACAAGAGGACACAGACCCACAGTGCTGATGATTTTTTTTCTGGCCAGGACAGAGTTCCTAAACGTCTGTGATCCCTGAAGGCCATGCTAAGTGACACCCTGCAGGCCTGGGACCTTACTAACTAATGCTTGTGCTTCTCAGGCTGCCACCAAACAAGTGATGCTATACTGGCTACAGCAGCTACAGATGAAGCGCTGGGAGTTCCACAACAGCCCACCTGCACTTCCTGTCACCCCTGCTGCCGGCCAGTCCGGGAATGAGTCCACCCTGCACCTCAAGCTAGGTACCAATGGGCTGGCCTCCTGCCACATACCCAAGCATTTGATAGCCAGGCCTTTCCCCTATTGCTGGGAGCATGGGAGGAACCCTCTGCCAAGAAATAGAACCAGGAATGGAATGTAGGATTGATTAGGTCAGGAACATGGGCTCTGAGGCCAGGCTGCTTGCGTTCAAGTTTCAGCCTTGTGTGATTTCAGGCAAATTACCAAGCCTGCCTGAGCTTTAGTTTCCTTCCCTACCAAATGAGGTGAATAAAGTGGTATACCCATCTTAGCACTCTCCGAGCCCTAGCTGAATCCGTATACTTCAAACAGAACAATTTTTGCATGTGGTCAGACTCAATAGAACATTGTAATATCCCTAGGACATCTCAGGAAGTTACACCTGCCCAGAGCTGTGAGAAGGTTCAGTGAGGACGCATAATGTAATGCCTTAGGCATTTGGGGATGATTTAAAGTATCTGTTACTTTAACCCTGGTATTTTCAGAGATCAGAGTTCTTTGTCCCATGTTACCTACAAGTGAGGCTGATATGTTTCTCTCTCTCTCTCTCTCTCTCTCTCTCTCTCTCTCTCTCTCTCTCTCTCTCTCTGTGTGTGTGTGTGTGTGTGTGTGTGTGTGTGTGTGTACTGAGGTTGAATCCAAGACCTCATGAATGCCAGCCAAGCACTTCTTTGCCCTTGGATTTGGGGACAGACAGGTTGTTGCTGTGTAGCCCAGATTGGCCTCAAAACTCTCAGTCTACCTCCCTAGTACTAGGATAATAACCCTGAGCCATCACAATTTACTTTAAGTGAAGCTTTGTTATCTCATGTTCTGGAATGTCTTAACATGGAGAAACCTGGAAGTCACACTTTGTCCCACCACTGTGCTGTGGCTGGAAACATGACTGTTAGATTTCAGCATGGGGATGGACCACCCCATGGCTGCCACTGCAATAGCACACATCAGGTCCCAGTACAGAGTCAGTGTCTAACAACTTCAGTCGACAGGCCAGTTCATTAGCCAGAGTAGAACTTCACATGTCCAACCCTGAGCACACCTGCCTTTGAGGGTTCCCCCTCCCTTCTAGATGACCAAATGTGTGCCCACTTGTTCTCACAACAGCAGGCCACACCCCCACCCTTCTTCAGCCTCTACCAGTCAATCCAATTGGGCACTGCCCTGGGTCTCTTACCCCTGAACTGCCCATCAGCTCCAGGTCCCCTCACTGCCATTCCCTAGGTTAGATCTCTCAGCTAGAAAACCCCAGTATCCTCTCCTTGATAGTGTGCCCTACCAAGGCCTGTGTCTGAGCCTGTCCCCTGTAATCTGAGTGGGCTTTCTAAAATGCAAACCCACCCAGATGGGCAGGTTCTTACACACTGACTAGGGTTATCCCCCAAATGCCACCACATTTCTGCCAGCCTCTCATGCACTGTAAATCCCTGCTTATTCTGCAAGGCAAGGCTCTTTTTACCTCATCTCCTCAGCTTCCCCTCAGATGCCTTCTGGGACTTTACCATCTAGATTCAGTATACGTCCATGACACTTTTTCAAACATTGCAGGGAGACCTGTCACATGGTGTTCTGATTACCAATGTCCTTTTAGTCTCCACCCACTAGCCCTTAAGAATAGGAACCTTTTCTTTGTCACCTCTGTCCCTAGTCCTTGGTGTCTGCCCTGACACAGTAGTAATTTGCAGGGTGAATGTGAGAGTAAATACATTGAACTTTATGACTAAGAAAAGTACTGTAAAGTGTAATGTTAGGTACACAGGCCTAGTTCATGGTAGCTGCACTATTGACACATGTTTATGTGTGAGACACACACATTATTTATGCTCTTATTGTCATCATAGTACCTATAAGCACATATATGCTTTACTATCATATCGGGCATGTTAACACTATCATAGGACATGTCGTAGTACACACTAGTAGTATTACAGTTACAGTAACATACTTATGCTATTATTACCATATGCATGCATGTGCTGTAGCTATCATATGCTATATGCTATAGCATATATATGCTATTGCTATCCTAATAGTACCTATGTACTGTTACTACTGTAATAGTACACCCACACAAACAGTCTATCTCTACTGTATAACATCTGCTTCTTGTTGTCTTTAACTGGAACTCCTGAACCTCTTGCCCCCTCCTCCTAGGTGCTAGGATTACAGGCACACACCACCATACAGCTTCAAGCAGGCTTTTAAAGGGTTTCTTTGCACTCATCCTTCTACTATAGCTCATGCCATCACCACACAGCCAGGCAGCCCTGCCTATGTGGAAAATTATAGCCTGAGATAACACAGTCGCCATAGCCAACTTCAGAGCAAAGACAGGAGAGAGCCTGCTTTCTGTGTGTATTGATCTGGAATGTGAAGAACTAGGCTCAGAGGCACAGTGTGGAACCCCATCATGCCAGACCAGGCCCAAGCTCTTAGTTATGTAGCTTTGCTTCCATACACATGGCTAGGCCTGTTTGGGGCTAGCATTGTTTTTCTTGTGGGGCAGGCAACATGGTGGTCCTATAACCAGGGTGGTGGTGTCTCAGGGAGAGCACTGGCCTGAGATTTGTGAAGCAGAAGTACGGACTTTGCCTTCTGTCCACCCTTTCATCCTCTAGCAAGCCTACCCCTACTGGGCCCAGGGACTGAGTGGAAATTTCTAACATCACACATACATATTTGCCCCCACACACAGAAAAACCTTTATGCAGTCTGTGTTTGCATGCTTGCTTGCTTGCTTGCTTGTTTGCATGCTTTGTAGTCCAGGATGGCTTCAGTCTGACTGTGTAGCTCAGGCTAGCTTTAAACTCATAGTGATCATCTTGGTTCAACCTTCCAGATGCTGGGGTTATAAGTGTGTACCACTATGCCTGACTCCTGTGCTTTCTGGAGTCTTGGATAAGCAGCTGATCCTTAGATTAGCTGTTTGGAGCATGCTGCCCTACCTCAGCCCCTCCCTGTCCTTCCTGAGGAAGCAGAAGGCTATGCAAGCCTCCTGATAAACTTCTGACTTTGACTCATAGAGGCTGGGTCCTGTTTAAAAAAAAAAAAAGTTCCAGCACACTCTTGAACAATCTGGAGTTGTGTTCTCTACAGCTTTTTAACATATCCAGATTTATTTTATACCTCACCTACACAGCAGTCCTCACAGAGCCAAGAACAATCAGAGGAAAATTGACAAGGTTCCTATAATTACACGTTGCCAAAGGAAGCCACAGTAAACAGGGGACATTCATAAATATCTGCCACCCAAAATTCCCATTTACTAACACTGCTCTAGCATGTTAATCCTTAGTCTTCCAGATGTTATTCTCATTTTATAGGAGGAAGCTGAGGCTCCTTGGCAAGGAAATTCAAACTGCATCTTACATGTTTGCACCTCAGAGCTGAGGGGGCTTTTAGGGCTACACCATAGAAGCAGAAACCAACTGGCATAGGCCCTTTTTTGTATAGGCAGGGACTTCCTTGTAGTGCAGGGGTAGCCCAAGTGCCAAAGCAAGAGAAGTCTGAGGGCTGCTGGATATGCCTAGCATGATAATCTCACTGGGGGCCTTTCTTCAGGCAAGAGGAGCCAGGGCCTTGGGCCGTCGAATATATCTCCAGAGGGAAGTGCTTGTCGCAGTAAGGCCACTCCGTGTGCCTGTGCCTTTAGTTCTCTGCAGTAGGTGGTGCCTTTGGGGCACCCCTACTTCAGAAACCGCATTCTGCCCCTGTGAGCCACAGAATTCAGTGAAAGGGCATAATGGCTGAATTGCATCTGAGTTCATGTCACCGACTGGCTTTGGCTTTCCCACAGACCTTATCCTCTCCAAGCTGCTCTTTCCTTATTGATGCACCCCCTCCCACAACACACACACACACACACACACACACACACACAGCCACAGAGTTGATCTTGGACTGCAGGCAGAGAGGTGTAGAAGACCTGATACTGCAAAAGAAATACACACTAGGATACTAAAGTCTGAGAGAAACTGATTTGGTTTGCTCTGAGTGAGAGAGAGGGAAGGTGATTAAAGTATTAATGAGTAAGAACATTTTATGTTGAATCTGTTCATAATCTGAAAGGTTGGAGTCCACACTATGGGGTCTTATCCTTTTCTATTTCTGTGTACTCTAACCTCTAAGAACGCAGGGTAGAGAGTAGCCTTCCTGTGTTTTCATTTGCTTGTTTTGGTGTAAAGAATTTCCAACAGATCACGGGACCCTCCCTGTGGAAACAGGGCCTGGCCAAAGCAGATCTAGTACTTCAGGCTTTTGCTGATCAACAAACAATAAACGCGCACACACACACACACACACACACACACACACACTACACTACACTCACCCCATGCATACATGCATACATATATGTATACACATAGGCCCACACTCCCCTCACACATGCACACCTACTCCTTATGACCCTGCCCCCAGCTATACATGGCCTTCCCATCTGGTCACCCTGGTCCTTGTCCACAGGCTCAGCTCTGGTGCTAGGACCTGTCACTAATGCATTACCTCTTTGCCCTCCCTCCTAATGCAGTCAGCTCCAACCCTCACGGCCCTCAAGGACTTACTGCTGTGGCTTGAGGTAGAAGGACTGTCTTTCCTCCCAGAACAGCTCTCTGCCCTAGCTCCTGCCTACCTGGGTCTTCAGTCATGACTTTCTCCCCTTACCTGCTCCTTGGCCTCAGCATTCTGCTGCTTTGCTCCATCTCACTTCCTCCAGCCCTCCCTGGAAGCCCAGTGCATGTGTGGGGAGAGAGGGAATAGAAAGGAGGCTTCAGAAGAATGGCTCTGAGTGTTGCTGCCAAGTCAACTGACCAGCCTGCTGGGAATTAGCAATATGGAACTCACTATTGCTTAAGTAATTACAGGTTTTATTGGGCCAGTGGGCCACCCTCAACTCCCACCCTGCTCAGCTCCCGTGATCACCACCATAGTGGTGAATGTTTTTATGCCCACACCTTCTTTACAGATGTCATGCACAGATAAATTTTCCCCACCCCTAAAGTCATAAGGTTATTTTGTGTTACGTGTGTGTGTGTGTGTGTGTGTGTGTGTGTGTGTGTGTGTGTGTGTGATTCCAAGTGAGTGTGATGCCTTTGGAGTCGGAAGGCTTTGGGTCACCTGGAGCTGGATTATAGGCAGTTATGAGCTGCAGACGGGTGCTAGGAGCTGAACTCTAGTCTCCAGTAAGAGCAGCTAGTGCTCTGAACTGCTGAGCCATCTCTCTAGCTCACACCCCTGAAGCTTTCACTCCTTCAGGATAAGGGTTCCATATGGAAAGTGTCTTTCTGTGAATGGTCCTGGCCCTTTCCCACTTTCTGTAACATTCCCTATTAACTTTCAGACATGCCACATCCTCCCTCTTATACTTCAGATGATGTTTTTTAGTGTAGAAACTTACCTTAACGTTAAAAATTTTGAAGTCACTTTCTCTAGAAGAATTCTTGTCAGAACATTGAAGAAGAAGAAAAGGTATCCCTTCACCATCTTCTAGATGGACGTCTTCCTTTATTTTTGTGTATTTTGGATTGTATACCAATGTAAAACATCTTTACTTTTTAATATTTAGGAGTATGATTTTAATATTTCTCTAAGTACTGTTTGTAATTTCCTATTTTTAATGACTCTAAATTTGTTTTCTAGTTATGAAACTAGGCCTAACATTTTTAAAGTAGCAAATTTGGTGAGAAAACAATAAATTGAGAATAGCCTGTTCATTCATAATCCAATCATGCAATCCCAATCACACTTTTTGTTTCAGTACCCAAGCATTTATTAAATCAAGTAAAGGCTCTCCATACTGCTTTGTACAGCTGTATGCAATTATAAGGGCATGTCCTTTGTCAAAAAGATAGCTGAGATAGATTGACAAGACCAAAAAAAACTTCAAGACATTTAAAAGCTAACATAGTAAAGGTCATGCAGATTCCAGAACAGTGAGTCATGGCACAGCTTGCTCTTTCTTATCTTCAAAATCCAGGAATTTACCCAGAAAGCTGAAAAAATCAGATATTAAACTTCTTACCAACTGACTACTTTAATTAGGAATAACCTTTATCATGGCAGAGGGCATGAAACCTACATTTATTTGTCCTGGAACTTGCTCTGTAGACCAAACTGACCTTGAACTCAGAGATCCACTTGCCTCTGCATCCTGAGTCCTAGGATTAAAGGTGTGCACCACCACCTCCCAGCATAAACAGACAGTATTTTTAAAGAGATTCATATGGTAAAATTCATGCCCTTTATCCATATTATGCCTTGGAATCCCCTTAAGGAGCCCAGCTCATGGTCTTTTCACTTAATGACTCTCCATACTGGTACTAAAGAAACACTGAAGAATAAAGAGACTGAAAGTCATAACAAAACAGTTCAGTGGGGCCATAAAATAACTCGGTCGATGTCACTTGAGTGAGTGGTGAGAAGACCTTTGAGACCCTAGTGACTTTTTCTTAGGTGGCAGTTTTGAACTGCCCTGTAACAAATGGCTGATGACAGCTGACTAGAAGTCTTTGCTGCTAATTGATCTTAAATCTTGTTCATATCTGCATAGTCTATAGCCAGCATGGTAATGGGGAGGTTCCAGTCACTCTTCAGATCAAGAAGTTTCTTTTCTTTTCTTTTTTGATGTTTGGAGACTTGAATCCAGGAGCTCGTGCATCTAGGCAGAATCCCTAACCTGTGTAGAGTCTATTGGGAAACTTCTCAGTGTAATTGAGACTAACTGTAACTCCATTTTTTAATCTGGCATTTGCCATTTACTATTATATCCCATGTATGTTCTTTTATGTTTGCTGGAAGAAAAGATTTCACTATGTACCTCAGGCTGGCCCAGAACTCATAGCAGTCTCCTGTTCAACCCCCTGAGACGAATCACTGCCCATTTCTCTTATGTTCTTCATCGACATATTTTACATAGTTGAGATGAGGCAGTCGTGTGGAGGCATCACGATTTACCCAGCCTACTCCTGGGTTGTGAAATTTTCATTTCCAGCCCAGCTTTGTGGTATGCACCTCTAATCCTGGGGACTTCAGAGTTGGAGGTAGGAGTGTGGATTACAAGGTCAAGGACAGTGTGAGTAACTTAGTTAGACTCTATGTCCAAAAGAAGGACTGGGGAGCTGGCTCAGTAGATAAAGGGTTGCCATGCATGCCTAAGAATCAGCTATCAGATCCCCAGAACTCATGTAAATGCCAGGTGGGTGTGGCACCTGGCCCCCTGTAATTCTGGCCCTGGGGAGGTAGAGACAGGAGATCCAGAGCAGGCTGGAAAGGTAGACCATCTATTTAGCAAGCTCTAGGCACAGTGAGAGACCCTGTGTTAGTAAATAAAGCAGAGAGATTGAGAAAGATATCAACCTCTGGCCACCACACACTAGCACATACATATGCATGTGTGTGCAATACACATTTGTACATACACACACACACACACACACACAAACACATATATATGGAAAAAGTTATTTCTACTTTAAGGTTCTACAAGTGATGCTAGGTTAGACCCCTTGACACATCAAGTTTCATAACATTTCAGACATTTTCCTATGAGATATAGAATAATCTGCAGGCCTGCATGTTTGTGAAGAGTCTCTAGGAAGGCTGCAACAGCAAAACATCAGGTTTGCTAGTTGAGCAGCTGTCACAACCCTGTATACTGTCAGTCAGAGCTGAGCCCATAGCCCAGGATTAAGTCATTCCTACAGGAAGTTGACTAGTTCATGCCAATATTGACTGCCTGTCTTTGGCTCCCTAGAGCAAGAGGCGGAGCTGGAGGAGTTCCTGTGTCCTGTGAAAACACCCACTGGACTTGTGGGTGCTGCAGCTGCCTTGCAGCCTGTCCCTGCCATGCCCTCAGCCCTTCAGAACATCTCTCTGAAGCATCTGGGAACTGAAATACAGTAAGTGTCAGAGGGGATGAGAGCCGCCAGTCCTCCAGCACCGCTTTCTGTGAGCTTCATCTGGTGTGGCTCTGTGTAGAGACAGGACAAGGGTGGGGTTGTTGGTTTATTTTCAATTAATCACATTGTTATTTAGAAATATGCCAGGTACTATAGTCCTAGCACTTGGGAGGCAGAGGCATGAGTGTCATGAGTTCTAGGCCAGCTGGGGCTACATGATGAGATCTTGTTTCAAAATACAAAAACAGGGCTCAGCTGTAAAGCATTTGCTACTCAAACTTGTGACCTGAATCCCTGAAGTGAGCATAAAGGTTGGAGAAGAGAACCAGCTCCGTAGAGCTGTCCCCACATGTATTGCGGCACAAGCACCCACCCACCCTGCCCCACCCTCCACATGCCATGCCACATAATAAAATAATCAAAATTTTTAAAGGAAAATCATTAGAAATTACCCATAGCTTTACCATTCATCATGCCTAGCAGTGGTAAGTAGCTCTATATATTCAAGTATAGCTGGGATCACATCAAATGATTTCATATCAAATTATTTACTTCTAACATGTGTACTTTGTCAGTCATGTCAAATACTTTGTGGTGGAGGGTGTTGAACAAGGTCTTACTCTGTATCCCCAGGCTAGCCTGGCACTCACTTTGTGGCCCTGGCTGGCCTTTTACTTGCAGCAATCCTCCAGTCTCAGCAGTCTTGACTGCTTTTCTTTTGTTAATTTTTAATTTTGCTGTTTTATGTGTATGTGTGCTTAGGGTAGTGATGTCCTTCCCAGGAGAGAAACAGGCTTTAGCGAGAAGATGAGGTGTGTCCTCTGAGGCCTGCTGGCTGGAGGAAGTGCTAACCACAGCCATTTGGACAGAGGGGCATGGAGCCCGAGAGAGGTCTGAGCTGGAGAGAGAAGCCTAGGGGACATGGAGCATGGGTGAGCACCCAGAGTGCAGGCCTTATTCCTCTGGAGATACTGGGAGGAACTGGGTGTGTTGGGAACAAGCTAAAAGGAAGAGGAACCTGGGAAGGCCAGCATCCTAGCCAGCAAGTATCCAGGATAGGTGGTTTATGCCCAGGGAGGCCACAGCCACAAAAGTGGACATGTGAAAACAGAAAAGGAAGGAAGTTTCATAGCATTGCCCAGGCACTGCCCTCCAGTCACTTGTGATAGCCATAGATACAAGGCAATAGCAACATTGCAAGATTAGTCCCCTGTACTGCCCGGGCCCCAGACGATATGGTGAAATGAGAGCTGCTCATGTGCCTTGCTCATAGGTCCTGGCAGGCCTTGAGCTTGCAGTTGTGCTGCCTGAGCACAGGTCGTCCTCAGGGCAAAGGGCATCCTGAACATTGCCAGAGGCTTTGTGCTCTCATTGACTTGTCAGGACAAGTCTGTACAAGCTGCTGTGTGTTCCAGAATCAGGCCCGACACTGTTCTCCTTCCGGTCCATCGGGACACGCCATAACACTCACTTCACAACAGGGCTGTTGTGAAGGTGAAATGCACAGAATGAATCATCGTGTGCCTCTTAAAACTTGTCCTGGGGGGTGGGGGTGGGAGCATATGTTGTGATCTGTTCCTAATCCCACAGCAGAGGGAGCAATCCAGGAGGATAACTGGCTTGCTCGCCACTGTTGCCCTCATTATCATCACCCCGGTGCTGGCCAAGGCTTGCAGAACAGAGCTGAGTTCGGCACTCTTCTCAGTGCTGTGACCAAATCCCTAACTAAGGCAACTCAAGAAAGCAGGGCTTGTTGTGGCTCACAGTTGAAGAACAGGTAGCTGGACATGTCCAGGACAGCATGGAGGTGGAACCAGGCACATTGTATTCACAATCAGGATGCAGACACAGATGAATGGTAGTGTTCAGCTCATGTTCTCCTTTTTATTCATCGGGAACCCTCCCTGTCCACCGATGCTGCTACCCACATTCAAGGCGGTCTTCTCCCTTCAGGTGAAGCTTTCTGGGAACACCCTGACAGAGGCACTTAGAGGTGCATGTCCACGGTGATACAAATCTAGTAAAGCAGATAGTGAAGGTCGACTACCGCAGGAGCCAGCGTACACAGAGTAATCCAAATTGCTCCAAGCAAAGCCGATGGGTTGATGGCAGAGAAATGCTTCCTCTAGGGACAGTGGCCACCTGGACAGTAAAAGGTGGAGAGCATCCTGTCCCAGAGAGATACCAGCCAGGACCAAAAATGCCGTCTCCTACCTTAAAGTTGGTGTTTTCTTGCTCTGAACCCAAGGACCACTAGACACAAGCCCTGTGACATGTTGGAGAAGCTTAATTCCTGACAAAAGGAAGTGTGAGCAGCACTTAGTTAGTGCCTCTGGCTATGGCATGTGTCCCTGGATCCCTCTCTACCTTTTGGGGCTTGTGACCTGTGAGATCCATGCATAGCAGTACTCATCAGACACTAATCTCATCATGGTAATCAGTGGTCTTTCCAGCATGCCCACTGCACTTTTATTTTCTGATGGTGGGGTGGTAAGAACCAAGAAGACAAATGACCAGCTTGAGAAGTCAGGGTCTTTTGTAATAGGGTCAATAATAACCAAATGCCGAGATCTGGTTATTAGGATGCCTATCCTAACCTAACTGGTGACTATATTCTTTATCAATCCATGAAAAGACAATTCCATTCTTATTCTGAACCCAGCAATTTAAAACATGCGGACTGGCCAGGTGGTGGTGGCCCACATCTTTAATCCCAGCACTTAGGAGGCAGAGGCAGGTGGATCTCTGTGAGTTTAAGGCCAGTCTGGTCTTGTTCCAGGACAGCCAGGGCTACACAGAGAAACCCTGTCTTGAAAAACCAAAATAAATAAATAAAATAAAACATGCAGACTGGATCTTTTGGAACTAAGTTTCAGGCTGGTGAGATGGTAAAGGTGCCTTCTGTCAAGCCTGATGACCTGAGGTCTGTCCCTGGAATACACTTGGTGGAAGGAGAGAACTAACTCCCAAAAGTGTCTGACCTCCACATGTGTGATGCATATGCATGGCTTTTCTTTTAAAAGTCCAACAAAATTGGTAAGTTTTAGCTAGGTCAAGAAAGGGAAAAATTCAACAACAACAAAGGTCATTACTACCAACTTTAGAGAGATAAAAAGTATTGTTAGGGCCAGACATGGTTCTCAGGAAGTTGAGACAGGACGACCCCAAGTTTAAGGTCAGCCTGGGCTACTTAGTGAGTCCCTGGCAAAAAGGAAACAGGCTCTAAGGTACACAGTTGGGTTTTTTTTGTTTGTTTGTTTGTTTGTTTTGTTTTTTTTGAGGCAGGGATTCTCTGTGGCTTTGGAAGCTGTCGTGGAACTAGCTCTTGTAAACCAGCCTGGCCTTGAACTTACAGAGATCCTCCTGCCTCTGCTTACTGAGTGCTGGACTCAAAGTCTGAGTAGACCTAATAACTAGAGCCTGCAGGGATGGGGCAGCTTCTCCGGAAGTTCCAGGAGTCTAGAGGACAGTGGCATGTGCTGAGGTGCTAATCTGACCTGGGCACCCACTCTCCTCCTCGCCGGTCTCCATTTCACAGCCATTATCGGGCTCAGTCCCTTACTCCCTTCCGTTTCTGGGACCCGAACTAGACTCTTTAAAACTGTTTTGTGCTTCTGGAGGTCTAAGCATTTGTGGAATGAGGGTTTTCCAGACTGACTTGTCTGTCATATTCTCAAAGTGTGACACACAGAGCCAGGTCTGTCGTATCCCCCTGTCTGACCACCCCCACTTCACCCCACTGTCCTTCCTTCGGGTGTAGTATCACCCAGAATCTGAACTGGTCATAGTGAAAACTCGTTGTTTGTTATAGCTCAGAACAGATTTCTGCAAGTCACAGAAAATGTTAACCCTCACCAGATGGGGTAACTTTGAATGTTTTCTCTTCCTTTTCTTCCTCTCTTTTAGAAAAAGTCAACATATCAAATTTATTTCATTTTTTTCCGTATCCTTTATTTATGACAGGAAATGTTCATGGGAACTCTGTGATAGTAAGCATTTTCAGCAAGATTGGGTCAAAAGAAATGTGGGGCTGGGGATGTGGCTCAGATATTGAAGAGAGCCTTTGCCCCCAGGCTCTCTGAAGCTCTCCTCGGCAGAAGGATTAGACATTCAAAGCCATCTTCTGTCACACAGTAAATTTGTGATGCCTGAGATGTAGTCTCAGATGCATGAGACCCTGTCTCAAAAATAAAAAAATTAACAAAAGAGCTAGAGAGATGGCTGGGTGGTAAAGTGCTTGCTGTGCAAACCTCAGATTCCCGGCACCCGTCTCTAACTGGGGCACTGGGGGAACAGAGACAGGCAGGAGGGTCTCTGGGGAAGCAGAGACGGGAGGGTCTCTGGGGCTCACTGGCCAGCCAGTTGAGCTGGTCAGCAAATTCTGGGTTCACTGAGAGACCCTGTCTCAAAAAAAGTGGATAGTGAATGAAGAAAACACCCAGTGTCCTATTGTTCACTGTGGTCCACACACAAATGGGGTGGGGGCCTGAGTTTAACCTTGTTTTTGCACGGCAAAGGGATTTTAATTGTAAGATCATTGTGGAATCACAAATAGGAACATTCAAGACACATTTCTTCCTTTTATTTATTTATTTATTTTATTTTTTGTTTTTTCAAGACAGGGTTTCTCTGTGTAGCTCTATAGACCAGGGTGGCCTTAAACTCACGGATATCTGCCCGCCTCTGCCTCCCGAGTGCTGGATTTTAAGGCCTGTGCCACCACTACCACCACCACCCAGCTCAAGACACATTTCAGTCACTCAAGGTACAGTTGAAACAGATCTCAGGAAATTCCAAGGGCCAATGGCTAAGTCTCTCTGCCTTCAGAAGCCCTCCTACAAATGGATGGTCCAAGGCTGACTTTCAGAAGCTACCATCCTTCTCGCCATGGCTGCCTTGCCTGGACAGGTGCGCCTCCTGTGGCCTGTTTTGTTTCCATAGTGCCTAGGCTGTTTCTTTTAGCCAAGCCCTTCAGACAGTTCACTTAGGGGGCTCTTTTTCTCTCCCTTGCTTCTGTCTCTTTACAAGGGAAACTAAACACGACCTATCTCTTTCTTCATCTGATGGTTTATGAATTTTGTTGTAGTCTGTACTCTCAGGCCAGCCTTTAGTGCTACTTACTTCCTGTCTGTAAACCACACTAGGGTTAAGTCTAGACTCAGGATGGGGCCTCAGCCTCAACAAGCTATTGGCTGAAGCTGGCCTGGGCATCAGTGGTGTAATAAGCCCCTTGGAAGCAATGAGTCAGTGAAACCTGCCAAGCAGGGTGAGTCTGGGAAAAGAGCAAAAGCAGAGAGCTGCCAGGAATACGTACAACATGCCTCAGCAGATCTGGGCAGCACCAGTGGCCTTTGGGCATGTAGTTAGGAGGCCAGAGGGTTTGGGGAAGTTAGGTTGGCAAGTCCATTCAACAGTCATTCAACAAACATGAAGCAATTTCTTAGTACAGTCACCGTGCTAAGTTTAGCAGAAGGACAAGTGTGGGGCACACACTCCAGCAGCAGGATTGGGGCTGCAGGAACCAAGCTTATAAGAAACACAGTATTCATCATCACAGTTGTGAACTCACAGCAGCTGTGGTTACTGTACAAGATAAAGCCAGTCAGTAATTCTAATGCCAGTGGGGGAGGGGGGCCCCTGAGGCTCCACCCCGGCTGAGGAGCTGTTAGCAACTGGTGGCAGCCAGGGGAGGGAGGGTCATTGTTCTTCAGGGTTGTGGTCAACTGTAGCTTGTCCATGCTCACTCAAGCAGGCAACAGTAATTTGACTTAGTAAGAAGGGCATATGTTGTGGGGAAGGATGCTAAGGAAGGAGGGAGGGGAAAGGAAGGGGTAGATTATGGTCAAGATTCGTTGTAGGAGACTGGGGAAATGGTCAGTGGTTAAGAGAGCTTTGTTCTTGTAGAGGACCTCCCGGGTTCAATTCCCAGCACAAACATGGTGGCTCACAATCATCTGTAATTCCAGTTCTAACAGAGCTAAAGCCCTCTTCTGACCTCCACAGACACCAGGAATGCGCATAGTTCATAGACATGGGTCGTGGTTTGAAAGAAAATGGCCCTCAAAGGGAATGGCATTATTAGGAGGGGTGGCCTTGTTGGAATAAGTATGGCCTTGTTGGAGGAAGTGTGTCACTGTGGAGGCAGGTAGAGGTCTTATACATGCTCAAGCCACACCCAATGTCCTAGACCACTTCCTGTTGCCTGCTAGTCAAGATGTAGGACTCTCAGCTAACTCCAGCACCATGTTTACCTGCATGATGCCATGTCCCACCATGATGGTAATGGACTGAACCTCTGAACTGTAAGCCACCCCATTAAATGTTTTCTTTTATTAGAGTTGCCAAGAGAGGGGCGGTGGTGGTACACATCTTTAATCCTAGCATTCGGGAGGCAGAAGCAGGCAGATCTCTGAGTTCGACACCAGCCTGGTCTAGAACTAGAGCTAGTTCTAGGACAGGCTCGAAAGCAATATAGAGAAACCCTGTCTCAAAAAAAAAAAAAAAAAAAAAAAAAAAAAATGATATCTCTTCACAGCAATAGAAACCTTAAGATGGACATACATGTAGGCAAAATACTAATAAGTCTTAAAAAATATATGGTATATATGTGTGAAATTCACCAAAAATAAAAAGGTGAGGTGTAGTGTGGAAGGTGGTAAATGAGAAGGATAAGGAGCTTGGGGTGGGGTGGGGGGCTCAGGTGTGTTTTGCACAGGATGACGAGTGTGGAGACCAATCTGGATGGTTGGAAGCGTGCTGGTGAGGCTGGAGCTCCAGCAGGCAGCAAGAAGGGTAGACAGGTTGCCAGCCTCATGCTCCTCACTTCTCCTTTCAGAAATACCATGCACAACATCCGTGGCAACAAGCAGGTCCAAGCAACAGGCCATGGACCACTAGTGGACGAGTCTTCACAGGGTGGGGAGCCCTTGATCTCTGACCCCAACACTCCAGGTGAGCTCTGCCCAGATCTGAGACCAAGTCCTGTCTCCTCCCTGCCTATAAGAGCATATATGTGTGTGGCTCAAGCAGAACACATTAATTCTTCTAGTTAGGTGAAGGCTGAGAAATCCAAGGTCAGCACGCTGAAGATTTGGATTCTAGTCAAGGCTCCCTTCCAGGCTTGTAGACAACCACGGCTCTGCCTTCTAGGTGACAGCGAGCTCTCTGTCTTCCTCCTCTAAAGGCACTAGTCCTCTCAAGGGGGTCCACCTTCATATCTTCATCTAAATCATCTAAATTACTTAAGGGCTTGCCTCCTATTGCCATCACATTGGGGACTAGAGCTTCAGCCTGGAGCTCTGGGGAACACACACACACACACACACACACACACACACACACACACACACACACCCTAGATCCAGAAAGGGAACCCATAACAGACTAGAATAATGATTTTTTTACACCAAAGTCCAACTTGGCTGAACCAGTTGGGGTTTTTGGGGGCTTTTATTGGGGTTACTAACAGGGTTATGCATGGCAAGGGTACTTTAAAAGGTCAAGGATGACTCAGAAAAGCAATTGCATCACCCTGAAATGCCCAACACAGGTACTGATCCCAAAAGCTGCAACCCTGGAGCTCTCTGCATGCCTCACAGCTTCACAGGTAGATCTGCAGTGTGTATAGTTGTGTCCCCCACCCCCATCCCACTCCACCCTGCCCCCAGCAGTTTACTTAGTTTTACACCCCGGTAGGGAGCCTCCGGGATCTTCCTAGTGCCTCTCTGAATGAGTTACCTTTTGTTTACCTTGTATCTTACAAGTCTCCCTTCCCTCAGGAGTGAAGTGTCAAAGATGAAGGCCTCCAGCATTCTCCTGGTCCTCCAGGTTGAAGAGCAGGGATGGGAAACACTGCCTTGGGGCCGGGTTTAGTGTATCTCAGGCCTCTAACTTACTATATAGCTGAGGGTGACCTTGAACTTCTGATCTACATCTGCCCCTGAGCTTAGATGCAGGTGTGTACCCTGGGATATGGGCATGAACTGCCACACCAGGTTCAAGGATGTTTTGTTGTACTAAATTACAACACAACAAAATTTACCATTTCGCTACTTTCATTACACCATTCTGTGGCATTAAGTGCTGTTACGCCATCACATGACCACCACTGCCGTCTTCCCCACAAAATTCCTAGTAATGATTCATAAATAAAGCAAAGTGTACCCCTATAGGGAAAGAGCAGAAAGGTGTCATTATGTGGGTGAGGCACCTGTGGGTGGATGGAGCATTTTATTGTTTCTGCCCATCATGACATCTGTGTTTCTCTCCTCAAGCAGCGAAAGAGCCCGAGGAGCCTCCCAAGCCTGCATCCAGGTCATCTCTGTCCCCCAGTCCCATGCAGAAACCTAAGCGACAAAACAACACCTTCCCGTTCTTTTCGGATGGGCTGGCTCGGAGCCGCATGGCCCAGGAGAAGTCGGTGGCTTTGGAACAACAGGTGCTGATGCTCACTGAAGAGCTAAAGTCTCAGAAGGTGAGCCCAGCCGGCCTGGGAACCCCATTGTGCCCCAGCCCTTTGAGTCTTTCTGATAACTCTGTGCAGTTCATCAGCCCAAGCCAGCATAGCTAGTCTATGGTCTTGAGAGGACAACTGTGGAGGTCAGAGGTGCCTTACTATCTATCAATCACTCAGAAACATGCTGTCACACAAACCAGGTGATAGGTGGCCACCAAAGGCATGGGCCTCTGGAGGCTTACTTTAATAATAGATTCTTAGATGGCTCTTAGAGAGACTTAGGTGGTGTCTTAGGGTTTCTATTTCTGTGACAAAACACCATGAGCAAAATGCAATTGGGAAGTAAAAGGTTTGTTTGGCTTACATACTTCAGCATTGTTGTTCACCACTGAAGGAAGTCAGGACAGAAACTCAAACGTGGCTGGATCCCGGAGGCAGGAGCTGATGCAGAAGCCATGGGGGGAGCTGCTTACTGGCTTGCTCCCCTGCTTTCTTATAGAATCCAGGACCAGCAGCCCAGGGATGGCACCACCCACCATGAACTGGGCCCTCCCCCCACTGATCACTAAATGAGAAAATTCCTTACAGCTGGATCTCATCAAGGCATTTCCTCAACCGAGGCTCATTCCTCTGATGACTCTAGCTTGTGTCAAGTTGACACACAGAACCACCCAATACAGGTAGCCTGACCCAACATGAAAGAAAGGCGGTGTCTGGGAGGTGCTATCTGGATGCAGGGTCTTGGGAGGGGCCACCAGTGCACAGGCAGGATGGTACCACCTGATGACTGTGTGCAGACAACTGAGGGGCTGACACAGGACAGGGAAAGCTGGCAGTGTGTGGGAGAGAACAGTGACAGGAAACTCGTTTTCACATGAGTTCACCGTAGCAGTGACAAAAAGGAGCCATGGGCCATTGTGGAAAACACAGGGCTTCAACTCAGAGCAAGGCATGGTTTTCTAGGCAAAGGCTATTCTGTGACATGGTGAGCGTCAACGGCAGGGGTGTGGATAGAGCTGCAGAGCTGGTCAGGTGCCTCTCTGACATAATGAAGGCTACGGTCTCAGCTGTCATAAAGCCCAGGTAGGACCTTGGTGAGCTCCTTTGCCCCTGTGAGGAAGGCGGAAGTTGGTGCTTGAGGTCTGATTGCCCAGAGCCCCTTCCAGCTTCCTTCCCCAGCCCTTGCTTGCACAGGACTTGGCTGGGGCGGGGCATGTGGTCTGTGCGGCTAGGTCTTCACTCCCTTCTATGATTCTGCTTGTGATTTCAGCCCAGTTTGGGGAGAGATGATTGAGAGACGCACGCTCCTCCCTAACTTCGCCCCTTCTCAGCAGGCCAGGCCTTACAGCTATCGAAGTCAGTGGTGATTGGAGGGGTTTCTTCCCTCAAGTCTTCATTCATCTCAGGCTCATAGTATGTGTGCATGTGTGTGTGTCAGGGAAGAACAGAGTGAAGGTCACAGGCCCAGCCATACAGAGTGCATTGCACAGGCAGCTGTGCAGATATGTACTTGCTGCCTGTGACATATCCTGTGTGGGAACATAGCAGTGATGTGGGGGCTCAGGTCTTCCCCGAGCCCTGTCATCTGCCTTTTCCTCCTGTCCTTGTGGCTTCCCTGTCATAAAAGGGTTTTCAGTTGCACTGCAATGGGTATCAGATCCCCAGGTTCATGTCACTGAAGCTCCTTAGCCAAACTTGGAAGGAAAGGGAAAAGAAACCATGATTATAAACACTGCCTGTCCTGATGTAGCCTTTCTTCCTACGGCATTACAAATGGCTGGAGGTACCCGGGAAGCCCTTGGAGACCTGTGCAGCTCTGGAGATTCCCTGCCTTTCATAAATGAAGGCAAGATTCTTAGGGACCTTTAAGGGTTTCCAGGCTGTAAATACCCATTCAAAGGAGAAGGTCATGAGGAAGTTGTCTGGGCCTTTCAAAATGTAGACTTTTACTGAATAATTTTCCAGGAAACCTTGATAGTTGGGGTTTGGCCTTTGACTTACAAGATGAGGGCACTTACTGCTCCCAGCGTGTCTGATGCCCACGCGGCAGCCCAGCAGTGACTGTCAGCACAGGTCACGCTCTGACTGTTAACCTCACAGCCCGTATCCTCTTGGTAAAGGGAGTTATGACCATTCTTGCTGGAGAGGTCCAGGTCTGGACCCTCAGGTCAATGCCTGGCACCCCACAGTGCACCACATCTGCCAGGTATGGCCTCGGGCTTTCACTTAGATGCCCTAAGAACTGGTTCCTGTTGCCTGACAAAGAGCAGGAAAGACGCTCATCTCAGACCCTCAGAGTCTGTTCTACTTTGCCTTTTTGTTGCTAAACTAAACACCATGACCAAAAGGAACTTGGAGAGAAAAGGGTTTATTTTATCTTATACATTACAGTCCGTCATTAAGGGACGCCATAGCAGGGACTCAAGGCAGAGCTTGAAGTAGAAAACATGGGAGATACTGCAGCGCTGCTTACTGGCTTGTCCCCACTAGTTTGCTCAGCCCCCTTTTTTATACGGTTTAGGCTCACCTGCTTCACAGGTCAGTCTAATCTGGAGAGTTCTTCAGTTGAAGTTCTCTGTTTCCCAGTGACCAGGTTTGTGTCAAGTTGACAGCAGAAGCTAACTTGACAGAGTCCATCAGGAGGAAAATGGCTCCTGGCTTTCCTATGAGATGCTTTCCTGTGTTTGGTAGGAAAGTGTGTCTAGCTTCAGGAAAAATGACAGTATGTGTAAGTGTAGCCATCCAGGTAGACCAGTGGTTCTCATGAATCCTTTGGGGATTGAACAACCCTTTTACCAGGGTCACCTAAAGACCACCCCAAAAAACAGATATTTACATTATGACTCATAACAGTAGCAAAATTACAGTTATAAAGTGGCAATGAAAATTATATTATGGTTGGGGTCACCACAGCATGAGGAAGTATATTAAAGGGTCACAGCATTAGGAAGGTTGAGAACCATTGAAATAGATGAACATCAATGGGTTCAGTAGCCCTATGAAATTTACCTCAAATTTTATGCTGTAGAAAGCACACTGGGACCAAACACCTGCCCTTACAGACTCTGCCATCCAACAGGGAAGACAAGATCATGTGCTAATGCCAGTGTGGTGTGGCCCCAGCACAGGGATGTCTGCACATCAGCTGAATAGGACACTGAAGGACTGAGGAGTCTGGGAGCTCTACAAACCCAAGCTTCCAAGGAACCAACCAGAGCTCAGAGTCTAATCTGTTGCCACTAGAGCCTCAGTCCTTTTACTGGGCCTTGCTCCAGGGACTTGGAGGAGGCCCCTTGCCTGAGGTCTGGTGCTGCAGGCCTAGGATACTGCCCACAGCCAGGGTTGCCTCCCTTCCCCCAATCTCATGGCCTCGCATCACACACAAGTGCCAGGGCTGATCTTGGAAAACGTGAGTGCACTCTCAATGCCTCCTTATGTCAGTAAATCCACAGGGATTCTAGTACCCATTAAGCCATTATCCCAGTACACATCTGGGCAATCCCATTGCTGGCCCTCTAGAGGTTTAGACTCTAGTAGACAGCTCCAGGTGGGAGGTTGGCTAGGTGCCTCTGACCCCTGAGCTGATAGTCACGCTTAGTTGTAAAGCTGTCTGCCCTGGCAGATGGCTGACTGTTGGCTGGTGTTGGCCATCTGTCAGTGGCTGGGAAGACTGGACCCCAGTGGGGCCACTTAGGCTCACTCGGATGTCTTGGTTGTTTGTTTAGGAAACTGTTTGTTTAGGACAGTTCTATTGGAGTGCTGCAGACAGGGCCTGGGGAGAGAGAGTAAGAGGCACCATGACTGAGTGACTGGTTTAACTTGAAGAAAGGCTTTTGATACTTTTTTTCTTAATTTCTTGAGGCAATTCTGTGGGGAAAAGAGGTCTTTATCACCAGCCTAATTCAGAGAAAGTTGATAATCTGTGAAGTGGTCAACCCCAAGCCACCCTGTTAGAGTGACCTTCCTTGGGTCTGTTAGCCTGCTATTTGTGACTGTAGCAATATGCCTAAGGCAGGCTGCTTTATGAAGAAACACTTCCTTCTGTCTCAAGGTTCTCCTGGTTGCTGAGTTACAAGTACACACAACCCATTTGGTTTATTGTAGGCAAGCACCTACTACACTACACACTCCACCAACTTGAGCTGTAAAGCTGAGGTATCACACCTGGGATGGCCTTGCTGGCAGAGTTCCAGACAATTCAGGCATCACATGGCAAGAGACAGGGTTCTGTGTGTGTCCTTTCCTCTTCACCAGCAGGATTGAGTGGTGTGGACTCCACCCTCATGACCTCAATAACTTAGACACACTCACGCCACAGCAGAGCGAGAGGCCTGTGTTAGCTCCCAGCCAGGTGCCTGAACTTCACTTAGCGAAGCACATATTGGTGCGCTAGCAAAATAAAAGCTGATTTAAAAGAATGGCTTATTGGCTTTTAAAAATGAAAATAAAACAACTCATGGCCAGGAATGAAAACCTGGGCCAGATAACAATTAGATTGAGAAGTATCACTCAGTCAGCTTTCTACTTCCTACAACTCGTCCTTAGGCATGGCTTCTGATCTTGGAGACCACCCGGCTGTTCCTCAGCAGTGGCCCAGGATGCAGGGGATTGTGCTGCATCCATCCTTGTGTTCCTGATATATCACACATGGGTACTGCTAGCTAGTCACTGTCAGGGAGGGATACCAGAGCATCCTAAGGACGAACACAGCTTCAAAACTGTGATGTTGAGTTGGGGTATATAGCCCATGCTGATAGAATTTCAGGACTAACATGAAGCGGGCCTGGTAGCACATCTTGTGATCTCAGCACTCAGGAGGAGGTGGAGGCAGGAGAATCGGATGTTCAAGGCTGTCCTTAGTCACAGCAAATTTCTGAGGCTACATGAGAGCCTGTCCAAACTGCAAGCTTCCCCCAGCATTTCTGTCTGGGGTATGTGTAGAGAGTGAAGCCAGTTTCCACAGGATGGCTATAAGCCTGGCATGTGGCTTAGGTAGTTGGCTATACGATGACTGCCTGTCCATCTCTGCCACTCTCCAGCCTGCCCTGGTCCTGCTCTCATTGTGCACTTGCTTCCGCTCATCTTCTAGAGTCCTCACAGACATGACCACATCAGACCTTCTTAGCAGGTAACAGACAGGTTGAGCCACTTGTGCCAATACAATCAATGCTGGTTCTAAATGGTAGTTTTATTTGTTGTTATTATTGTTTTTCAACATGCTTAAGAAGCATGAAGTCTTTGATCAGAAAAAAAGTAATATAAACTATGTGCCTTTTAAACCAGTGAGACCCCCAGTGCCATCTACACACCTGCCTGCCCAGTCACCATGCTGTCACATGAAGACTGAAAGCCCAGAGAAAAAAGCTAAGACTAAAGCAGGCTAGAGCAGATGTCCCAAGTCAGGAGCCCTGGCTTCTCATGAGCCTAGCACACAGGCTCTGAAACAAACTGGTGCTTTTCCTTTCTCTTTGAGGTGGAAACAGCCCATAAACATAGCAGTAGAGGTCAAAATAGCCAAGAATGGGCGTGGGGGAACACATATGCAATGCCAGCTTCTGGGAGCTTGGAGGTAGGAGGACCAGAGGTTTGAGGCCAGCCACAGTGAGACCTTAGTGCAACAACCCCATCAAAGGTATATCACCAGCAATTGAGTAAGTAAACAAAATGTGCATATATATGCAAAGGCTAGCCTCAAATTCACAGAGCTCTGTTTATCTCTGCCTCCCAAATGCTGGGATTAAAGGCACACACCACCATCACCCAGCTAAGCATTAACATTTTTAAAAGCTTTTTTAATTAATGGAACATTCCTGTGATAGTATATATCAAAGTTTCTTCTTTTTAAGGTTGAGTAATATTCCTTTGTGTGGTGGCTGGGCAGGAGGTCTATGGGGCCTCCAGGTTTCCCATAACTACGAGCTTTCTGTGAGGCTGCACCCTCTTCCCAGGCTCCTTCCTCCCAAGCATGACTTCTGATATAGGGATGGAGTGGTGTGGTGTGGTTGGGGCTCCAGGCTGGGAGCCTAATTGGAGATGCTGAGAATCAGTGAAGGAAGGAGCTCAGTGCTGTCATGACCAGACTTTCAGACCCTCTGAAGCAAGGGAAGGTATTTCCCTGCTTCTGGTCCAAAGCAAGACTCATTTATGGTGCCTGGGCCTATATCACCCAGCAGGGACCCAGGGCTACCTCTGGATCTCAGCTAGACCCTGAAGCCATAGGAATGTTAATCTCTCACTAGAGACCCAGGAAGCTGTTGCTCCATTCTGGGACATTCCAGACTTAGTGGTCTGGTGTGCAGTCACGTCCCCACCCCCACCTTCTGGCCATACCCAAGAGCCCCTGAATCTCTGAATCTTCTCTCTCTGCTCCCTGGGCCTCTGCTTGCCTGTCTTTTGAGCTTTCCCTGGAGCCTAACCTGGAAAGGCTTCCCTACCCTCTCCTCCTGTGTGCTGTTGACCATCTCTGACCCTCTTCATTCCTCGGGACTGTGGATTGCTTTGTCATATTGGGGTGTGTGAGAGCCTCTTCCTTCCCTCACCTCCACCCCAGGCAGAGGCCACTGTACCCCACCAAACCCCTTTGCCCCTCTCTCACAGCCAGCAAACCATTCCACTACAGTGCTCTGTCTCTGCTCCCAGTCTTTGCAGTCCCTGGAGGTGGGAACTGTGACCTGTCCCTTTCTGGGCTGCAGCACCTGGCATGGTGGTGTGGGGTTAGTTCTTGAATTTGGAAGCCTGAGGCAGCAGGATGGTGAGTTTGAGGCCAGCCTAAGCTGGTAGAGAAGCCCTGTCTCAGAAACAGTTGAGAGCTGGAGAAGAGATTGCCAGTAGACCCAAGATGGTCTTCTCAGCCACTCGGCCACGTCTGGCAGTTCCCCCAAAGGGAATCATGCTTAGTAATTCATTCCATCCAGCCAACTCACTTACTGGAATGCTGCAGCTGGGGCACAGTTGAGGTATCACTAAGAGAATGTGTGTTCCAAGTGCACTAGCAGGGTCAGGATGGTGACCAGTGGGGCTTCCCCACACCTGGCTGCTGGGCTGCCTGGCTTCTCAAGTTCTGATCCTGCCCCTGCTTTGAGCATGGCAAGCCTGAGTCCCGGGGAGGTTAGAGTACTCTGTCACGGTGAAGCCCTGCCTACCTGGGGTCAGAGGAGGAAAGGACAGTGCTGTTTCCCAGTTATTCAGCACGTACTTCCTGTATTGGCCTTGCAGGCACTGTTTATCATTGCTGGGCTGAGGGCTAGACACAAAGATAGTGAGTTTGCTTGGTGAGTGTCCTGGCTTTCTCCTCCAATCCTGTCTCGGCTTGCTTGGAAGTGGCTATTTGGATACCGTGTTCCTCACTTTTTTAGTGGCTGTAACAAAATTTGACAATAGCAACTTCAAAAAAAAAAAAAAAAGAAAGGTCTGATGCACAGCTCAGAGTTGCATTCCATCACTGCAGAGAAGTCCTGGCATGAGGGACACATTGCAGCCACACTCAGGAAGCTGAGAGATGAATGGGTGCTCAGTTCCCTTCCTCCCTTTCTCCTTTGTATTCAGCCCAGAATGCCAGCCCACGGGATGGTGCCACCCACATTTAAAGTGGGTCTCCCCACCTCAGTTAACCTCTACTCTAGAAACTGGTTCACGGACACACTCAGATGTGTGTTTCCATGGTGATTCTAAATCCCATCAAGTTGACAGTCAAGACGAACCATCACAGACACCATCTTGAGGATGCTGAGGTTTGAACTACCATGGCAAGAAAGGATATCACAGTCTTTCATAATATGTGGAGGCAAGTGAGTAAGACAAGACTCATACCCGTGGCGTGCCTCACACTTGCACCCCAGTTTCATTACTAAGCTCAGGCTTTGGGGTCTGGATGCTTTAGGATTGAACTCCCCATTTCCCGGGCTTCAGTCTGTTCTTCTCTAAAATAGACATGTCTAAGTCAGAGTGTGGGTTCAGCTCCTGTAACAGAGAAACCTCAATGCCATAACCTAAAACAAGTTTCAAATTTCTTTTTTTCTCTTGCACTGAAGAATCCAGTGCAAGTCCAGGCTGGTGGAGGTGGGCAGCTCTGCTTTGGGGGCTGGGAACTGTTCTCTTCCGGTCACTTCCCAGCCAGAAGGGAAGGGAATAGAGTCCATGGAGCATGTTTCCAGTGGTCTCAGAGGTGACCCAGAAGCTGCTCACATCTCAGCTCATCCATATTAAGGCAGAACTTGCTGGGATTGTTTTGTGTTGTCATTGTTGTTTTGTTTGTTTGTTTTTTGGCCAGACACACTGTGTTCAGCTATCATTTTTTTGGGGGGGGGGGTGTGGGAGGGAGTTTCGAGACTGGGTTTCTCTGTGGTTTTAGAGGCTGTTCTGGAACTAGATCTTGTAGACCAGGCTGGTCTAGAACTCACAGAGATCCACCTGCCTCTGGCTCCTGAGTGCTGGGATTAAAGGCCACCATTCTTACAGGACCAAGAGAGCAGAAAGGACTGCTGGCATGAGATGCCCAGGGGAGCTGATGGGCACCTCAGAGTTTTGAGGTGTGAGATAGTATCTACCTACCAGGGCTTCCCAGCATTCATGGCTGTTCCCTTCCCATCCAGGAGCTGGTGATAATCCTACACAAGGCACTGGAGGCTGCCCAGCAAGAGAAACGAGCGTCCAGTGCATACCTGGCAGCCACTGAAGACAAGGACCGGCTGGAGCTGGTCCGGCACAAGGTGCGGCATATTGCGGAGCTGAACCAGCGGGTGGAGACTCTAGAGCAGGATCGAGAGCGTCTGGCGCATGAGTCTGGCCTGCTGGAGCAACAGGTGCAGGTGCTTCAGCAGCAAGTGCAGCTACTCATGGATAAGAACCAGGCCAAGCAGCAGGTCATCTGCAAGCTGTCCCAGAAGCTCACCGAAGACCTTGTCCAGGAGGACCAGCCTGCCAGTGCTGCCAATGGTGACTTCCTAAGCCAGCAGGAGAGAATGGAACACCTGAAGGTAGGCTCTCCTGGCCTCTGGGTGTCATGAGTTGCTTTCTGGCTAGGGCAGACGTCGCCCCTCATTCTGGAGCATCCAGACCATTAGTTGGTAGCAAAAGGAAAATTTCTCTTCCCTCCTTCAGTTTTTGAAAGCCCAATGCTGTTTGACCTTTCATACTGTGCAGGGCCTCTGAAAAGTGAACAGGCTCCCAGCTTATCAGTTTAGAGCCAAAAGAGCCCAAAAAGGGCCCAGTCTGGCACCTGGTTTGCACAACATCCATCAATGCCATCCTGCTGCCCAGGATCCCCAACATGCTCAGGCTGCCCTCAGCAGTCTCATGGGTAGAGCAAATGACCAGTGCTGGCTGTGACTGACCCAAGGCAAGGGCAGTAATCACCACTGAGGGCTCCCCACATGCCAGGCCTGTCTCCTGTGTTTGCTGAGTCAGCTCACTGTGGCCTGTGCCAGCCGGTGAGGCAGTGACTGGCAGGTCCCACTTTTGTGATAGAAATAGAGATGATTGCATGTGAGGCTAGGAGTAAAGATGCTTGCCTGTGAGACAGGGAGCAGAGATGCTTGCCCGTGAGGCGAGGGGCACAGATGCTTGCCCGTGAGGCGAGGGGCACAGATGCTTGCCCGTGAGGCGAGGGGCACAGATGCTTGCCCGTGAGGCGAGGGGCACAGATTCTTGCCTGTGAGGCTAGGGGCACAGATTCTTGCCCGTGAGGCGAGGGGCACAGATGCTTGCCCAGCAGTTGGTGCAGGGGTGGGTGCAGGACTGGGCAGGAGCTTGTTTCTGCTGACTAGTCTACCTGCCCTGCACCTCCCTGTCTTTGTGCCACCTTCCGTGCCTCGCCCTGCTTTCCTTCTTTGCCTTCATCTTTCTCTTCAAGCCACCCCAACTCACAGGGACCAACCATGACATTTAGGGACATCATTTGAGGTGTGGTGCCTGCTGTGGGCCACAGTCTGCTCTGAAGACAGTGACAGGGGCTGCCAGCAAAACTAGCAGGTTCAGAACCACTGTTAGCCTGAAGCCAAAGACTATTTAGGGATACAACAGAATGAAGAGCAGCTGAGGCCTGCTAGAAAGCACTGGCATGCGCGAGGTGGTGGATACAGTTCTTATTGCCCTATATGCCAGGGGCCTCCTTACCTCCTTCCTCACCAGATGTCCACTGCTGTAGACCCATTAGAGGAGCCCAAGGCTGAGACATAGATCAGCTGGACGGCTCTGGAGCGCCAGAGCCCATTTGTTATCCTGCATCCCCCTAGGAGCCAGGATGTTACTCATTCACATCTGTGGGAGCATCAGCTATCAGTGAGGTGTGAGGAGGCTCACCATCCTGGAAGCTTATGCTTGTACACCATGCCTCTGAGCCCATGCTGGGGCCCGACAGAGCTGCATGGACTAGGTGTGTCTTAGAAGACCATTCAAATGCCCTTCCTCATCATATGTGACCATGTAGAGTACTCACATTCCTGCTTGCCTGAGACAGGATGCCCAGCCTTAGATAAAGGCCCTCTTACCCAGTCATTTCAAGAGTAATGTCACGGATCTCTTGAATTTCAGAGCTGGGATGAGGGGAGTCCAGTGTTACCAAACTAGGCTCCCAGTACTAGGAGGGAAGTGGAGGCAGGAGGGTTAGGGACTCCAGGCCATCCTCAGCATAGAGTTTGAGGCCAGTCTGGAGTACATAAAGTCCGTCTGGGCCAGTGAGGAGTTCAGAGATGAGAAGACAGAGGAATCTAGCAGATACACTAGCCACTAGGGGTGTCCGGGGCTGTGTTTGTGGGGCTGCAATCGGAGCCAGCAAAGCAGCCCCAGGTTTGTGCCTGAGTGGGGGAGTGTGGATGAGAGAAAGGCTAGCTAAAAGGGGTTAAGAACTCAAGATGAATCACAGGATAGTTGTCAGGAGGGCAGCTTCAACTATCTTATGTATTCAACCAACAGTGAGGACAAAATGGCAGAAGACTTCTGTTATCATGTATAAGAGACAAAGAGACTTCCCTTGATCCGCCAGGTATTTGGTAGCCATATCTGCCATGGGGCCTTCAGGGTCAAAAGTAAATGCACCTGTGCCCAAGTCTATTGTTATTTAGATAAGAGACATCCATCTGCCAAGGCCAAGACATCCTGTAGCCCCCAAGCTATAGACTTAATAACATAAGGACATTTTAAACTCTCTGACCATTAGTCAAAATGAAATGGACTCCTTTCCATGGGTCCTGACAGAGGGAAGATGGGTCCTGGTCCTGCAGCAGGGCAGTGGGATCCTGGCAGACTCTGGTCCCCCGGTGAGAACCTGTGCTGATAGGTCCTGCACAGGCTGCAGCAGGCTCTCCTCATGGGCCCCTTCTGCATGTTGTCCTCTTGCTTTGCTTGTGACTTTGTGTGGCTTTTTTCTTCTCTGAGGTCTCTCTTTTTCCTTCCTACAGTTCTGAGCCAAGGAGCCCGCCCAAGGTAGGGCATCAATCTGATCAGAGGCTGCCCAGATGCCATTCCCACCCACTGTGCTCCAAGGAGTGCCGACACCCACCTCACCCAGAAATGGGCACCCTATGTGACAAGTCCATATTCTCAAAGTTTGAGGGGTGCCTGTGCTGAGCCTGGGTGAGGAAGGGGTACAAACCAGGAGCAGTCGTGGGTGTGCTCTGGGCAGTCAGTGCGCTTGCTGAGTGCCTGCCATGGGCTGAACACTCCAGGGTGGGGGTTCCTGCTCTTCTACACCAGCTGTGTTGAGGGGTTCACCTTCTAGATCCTTGACTGTAAAATGGGAACAATGCTACTTTAACACTCATCACCTACAGATGGCACACGGTGGGACTGCAGGACTGACAGACACTGTTCTCTCACCTGGGTGCTGTGGCTTTCCCAGGTGCTGGGGAGGAATCCCTGTGACCCAGTTGCAGCAGGCTCCCCACAGACTGAGGGAACAGGCCCGTGTGGCAGCCATCTTGTATACCTCACACACAGTGACTAATGGAAGCACTTCCCGAGCCCACGGCCTAGGACTTTTGCCGAGCAGGGAAGGAAAGGCGTGGTTTTCAGTGATACTTCCTATGGCTTGCCTGGCTTCTGATCTGTCCAGGCAGCAAGCTATCACTCCCTATGCTGAACTATGAGGGGCAATCTCAAGGCTATATCTGTGTATCACCATAGCTTCATACTTAAAAAGCAGCTAAAACTCTCAGGGCTCACATTTAAAAACACCAAAAAAACAAGGTCTAAGTCAGCTATAGAAAATTTCCCAAGCTGGGGGAAGCAGAGGCAGGTGGATCTCTGTGAGTTCAAGGCCAGCCTGGTCTACAAATTGAGTTCCAAGACAGCCAGGACTACACAGTGAAACCCTGTCTCAACCCAGCCCTCCCCCCAAAAAAGAAAAGAAAATTTCTCAATAGAATAGTCATCAGTTTGTTAGTTTGTTTAAAAAAATAATAATAATAATTGTTGGAACTCAGCATGAGGACACACACCTGTGTGTCATAGCTATTCTAGAGGCTGAAGCAGGGGGCTGCTGGGTTAGAGATCAGCTTAGGATACATAGTGGGATCTTCCCAAGGAAAACAAGAGGGACCAGGTATGGTGGTGCAGGCCTATTGCCAAGACCTGCACAGCTTTGGGAAAACCTGACAGGGAAAACAAGGGAATGAAGAAATGCCGGACAGAAACAGAAAAGCTGGGATGGGCCAGTGTGCTCTGATGCACCAGTAGCCTGGAAACTCAGCCCTGGGTGAGGAGGCAGGTTTATTATATATGGTTGCACCAGGGGAAAGCCTTGCCACTCACAGTGGCATCCTTGACATGGCCATGCTCATGCCAACAATACACACTCAGGGCTCCATCCACTCTGCACACTTGGTGCTTAAGACAGAGGCAGGAGGGTCTGGAGTTCAGAGCCATCTTTAGCTATGTAGCAAACTTGAAACCAACCTGGGATACATGAGACCTTGTTCAAACAAAAGGAGGAGGAGGAAGAAGAAGAAAGAAAAAGAAGGGGCTGGGAGTGTGTGACCCCATGGCTGAGCTCATACTCAGATGCCACACAGGCTGGTTTGAGTCCTAGTGTCAAAAGTAGGCTAACAAATAAAGCCCTTGAGCATCACAGTCATGTTTACAAAGTGATACTTGACAAAAGGCAGTTCACGCACGGCTGCAAATACCTGGCACATGTACTGATTTAAAAACAACCAAAGCAATTATAGGCAGTGTAGGTAGGAAATGGAGGAATTCAAGGTCAACGGAACCAGCTTGGTTCCAACCGAACTAAACAAAACAACGTTGACTATAAGGCACAGCCCTTGAGTGCTTTGCTGGGTTCTGTCGCTTACTTGATGTTACCTGTTAGCCATGTACTGTCCCAGCTGCTGAGGGGACATTCATGTCTGCCTTTCCCAGATATGAAAACAGGTGGTCAGAATCGTTCAGAGATGGTAGCCACCTTGAACTCCAGGCCCAGGGCTCTCCCTCTGTCATGCTGGAGAAGGCGACTTTTCAGACGCTCTTTCTCTGTAGTCTTGGGAAATTCTCAAGGAAGGACGCTTTAGCAGCTCCTTCGAGGGTGACTTCTCCAGAGCAGGATGTTTGTGGTACCTCTGCTGATCCACTTGCTTTTTTCCAGGATGACATGGAAGCATATCGGACCCAGAATCGCTTCCTCAACTCCGAGATCCACCAGGTCACCAAGATCTGGAGGAAGGTAGCCGAGAAGGAGAAGGCCCTGCTAACCAAGGTACCAGGGACTGACGGCCACATCCATGGTCCATCACCTCCCCGTCCCCTGCCTTACCACCTCCACATCCCTAATCTCCTCCAGGCCCTCATGCCTGTGGCTGCATTTTGGAAGGTAGACTTGGCATAGGGGCAGTTTGGCATCTGTACCAGAAATCTCTGCAGTGCTGGGAACAAGACACATTGAGTTTTCCATGAGAAGAAGGAGGTGGGCAGGGAGAAACAGGAGGGCGGGGAGGCCAAGGTAGGGTTGGATGAAGTGTCCATAGACACATTCAAGTGGTGCCTGGACAACAGTACTTGCAACCTCAACCTTGAGGTCAAGATGGAAACTGAGCGGGCCCCACAGTCACAGAAACTGCTTCAATTCCACCATCCCCATCTCAGAGACAAAAAGCAAGTCCCAGAGAAGTTATGGGACTCACCCAAAGCCATCTGACCTGTGCACTGAAATGGGGTAGGGGTTCGTGTGCAGGGCCACACCCTAGGCTGAGGACAAGGAAGGAAGGTACAAAGTAAGGGCAGTAGAGGTTGCCAGGGCAGGACCTGCAGAGAGCTGTCTCTGTGCCCGGTACCTGGCAGAGCTTTAAACAGGACTCAACACTGGTCCTTGCCAGAATCCCATGGAGACCCCGTGTTAACCCTGTTCTACAAATGAAGAGCTGAAGTACAGGGTAAACACTGTTTAGCGACTGAACCAGGATGAGGTTCCATGCCTTACATGAGCTGGGCTATGCCTGCCCTTGCTTCCCCTCCCCTATTTTGGACCCAGCTCCCTTCTTGGTCCTGGTCTCTTTTACTTCCCTTGCAGTAAGCCTTTCTCTGTCTGCAGCTCCGGGAGGGGGCAGGCAGGGAGAGCAGAGTTGGGCGGGTTTGAGGCTGTTGTGGGCTTTGGAGCTTGAGTGACCCAGAGGCCTGACCAGCTGCTCCACTCCTGCAGTGTGCCTACCTCCAAGCCAGGAACTGCCAGGTAGAGAGCAAGTACCTGGCCGGGCTGCGGAGGCTGCAGGAGGCAGCTGGGGCTGATGTTGGTGAGCTTCCTGAGCTGCTGCGGCAGCTGGTCCAGGAGGCGCTGCAGTGGGAAGCAGGAGAGGCCCCGGACAGCGTGGAGCTGAGATCCATCAGGTGGGTGAACCCAGCAGGCAGCTGGGAGGGGCTGCAGGCACGAGATCATTGTTGCTGCTGCCACTGCTGCAAATGCCAGCACCGCATAGCTGTGGACTCTCCAGGCTCAGGCACACAGTATGCAGTGTCAGCTGAGTGGGGTGGGCTCAGTGGAGGCACACAGACCACCCAGCCCCTGCACCCATTACTGCCCAAGCTGTCCTCTCCAGCCGCGGCCGCGCCCTTGCTGAGCACAGCAAAAGGGGGAAGCTGTGTTGATGGGCTCTGGGGATTGCAGGCAGGAGTCTGCCTGTTTTGCCCCTAAGCAAGGTGCTTTACCTTTCTGTACCCCATACACCCCATATTCAGCCTACCCGCCCCCCATAAGTCAGGTAAAGAACTCTGCCTCACGGGCTCCCTGGGGAATGACCAAGAAAGCACACAAGGGATACACAGTGAATTGCAGTCATTAACTGTATCTCTCCTGGGCGGCACATAGGCCCCTCTAGTTTATGAGGGGATCTCCCACATCTTCAGGAAGCAGAACAGTTCTCCCAACTGCTCAGATAAGCTGAGGCTGGGCCCTGGAGGGATCTCAGTGCAGCCAGGGCAGAAGCCCATCTGATGTGGCCCTTTTGCCAGCAGTGAGTATGATGATTACGGCTTCCTGACGGTGCCAGACTATGAGGTAGAAGACCTGAAACTGCTGGCCAAGATCCAGGCCCTGGAGGTGCGCTCCCACCACCTGCTGGCCCTCGACACTGTGCAGCGTCCACTACGGGAACGCTGGGCTGCCCTGACTGAGCTTGCACCCTCAGCCGAACTCAAGCAGCTGCTGCGGGCAGGTGTGCCCCGTGAGCACCGGCCACGCGTGTGGAGGTGGCTGGTCCACCGCCGTGTCCAGCACCTGCACTCTCCAGGCTGCTACCAGGAGCTTCTGGCCCGTGGCCAGACATGCCAGCACCCTGCTGCCCGCCAGATCGAGCTGGACCTCAACCGGACCTTCCCTACCAACAAGCACTTCACCTGCCCCACCTCCAGCTTCCCCGACAAGCTCCGCCGAGTGCTCCTGGCCTTCTCCTGGCAGAACCCCGCCATCGGCTACTGCCAAGGCCTGAACAGGTGAGAAACAGGACAAGAACACAGCCTTCTCTTCCCGGCACTGTCTGGCTTGCATCTCAGGGTCCAGGAGGCCCTCTGCCCTGACAGGCAAAGAGAGGGCATGTTCATGGCTGAGACAAGCTGGGATTCATTCAGGTCCTCGTCCTGTGTGCTCTGGCTTGATCTAGGGAGGTTCTACTCATGGACCTCTCAGGAGTGGCTCTCTGTAGCCAGCCCAGCTTTACATGGGGTCAGACAGGCTAAGTCAAAATCGTGTGCTCAAATGAAGCCCCCCGCCCAGGGGGGACCAGAGGAATAGGAGTTTGTATGCCTGCATTCTTCCTGCACCCTCTCCCCTTGGGGCTGCTCCCCACCCCTCTGCTGCCACACAGGCTCTGGCCTCCCCCTTTACCCCTTCCTCCTCCTCTCAGTGGGGCAGTCTCTCCACTCATTCTTTGGCCTTGTAGGTTCCATCAGGGCTGCCTAAGTAGAGACCTCAGCCCTTGAGCCTCCCTACCTCGCCCCTCCCTTCCCACCCTTGATCCCTCATATCCAGGCTTGAAGTTCCAAAAGTGGAATGTGAGTGGCCCAGCCTGGATTATCGTCTGCTTGGCTCCACTCAGCAGAGGGAAAGGGATCAGGTTGAGGTTGGAACCACTCAGTTGGTAGAGGTGTCTGTCCCCTCCAATACTGGGGACTCTCATGAGTACCCTGGTTATTGCCATAGAAGTTGCATAGTCACATATATTTCCCAAAGCAAGTTTGACTCAATTTAGTTGAAGCACACATATCCCTGTGCTAAATTTACATAAGCTGTCTACTCTCCCTTCAGAGAAGGTGATGTGTGACATTTATTTAGCAGAGAATCAGGCTCAAAATGTCCTCGCTCAGATGTCAGTGGGTCCCAAGGGCAGAGATTTTCCGTATTGCTATCTCTAGTCTAAATGTGAGTGAAATTGAGCGTGTGTATGTTATTTCTGGGATTTGTGAGTTAAACTCCCAGAAGTCATGTAGCTCAGTCCATACCCCTCAGCAAGACTGTCAGGATGTATTGCTGCTCCGCCTGGGGCAGATGATGGCTGTAGACAACCTGCCCACTCATCCCTAGCCCAGCAAGACTTTCTTTCCCAGTGCATCAGACTCCAGAAGGGACACATGGGAAGCTTCTTTAGGAATAGCTGTGAAGGGGCTGGCAAGAAGGCCGAAGGTGAAGGAGTTGGCTGCTGTGCTTGATGAGCTGAGCCCCAGGATGGGACACAATGGCAGAGGGAGAGAATCGGCCCCCATCAGTTGCCCTCTAGCCTCCACACATTCAGCACGTGCCCAACACACATCCATGTACACACATAACAAACGTAATTTTAAAAGCTTAAGAGGAACTAGAAAGATGGTGTCTTAGTGTTTCTATTGCTGTGATAAAACGCCATGACCAAACGCAGCTTGGGGTGGGGTCCGTGGAGAGTTTATTCCTTTTAGTCCCAGTAGTTCATCGTCCAGGGAGGTCAGGGCAGGAACTCAAGGCAGGAACTGATACAGAAGCCATGGAGAAACACCAGTTAACTGGCTTGATCCCATGGCTTGCTCTGTGCGCTTTATTATAGCAACCAGGACTACCAACCCTGGGGATGGCACCACCCACAGTAGACTGGGCACACACACACACACACACACACACACACACACACACACCAAACACTGATTAAGACAACACCCCACGGGCTTGCTGGAAAGCCAGTCTCACGAGGGAATTTTCTCATTTGAAATTCCCTTTCCCAAATGACTGGCTTGTGTCAATCTGATAACACACTAGCTAGGATAGGTAGTTTGGTAGTTAAGAGCGCTTTGCTGTTCCTCCAGAGGATAAGGATTTGGTTCCCAACACCAACATGGTGATTTGCAACCACCCATAACTACAGCTCCAGAGGATCTGACACCCTCTTAACAAGTAAAACAGCAAATGCTAATAAATTCTTGAAAATAAATAAGTGAATAGAGGAGAAGTTAGGAAGATGGGTCTTGTATAATCTTAGTTACTCCAGAGACTGAAATAGGAAAATCACAAATTCAATGCCTGTAGGACTGCATTATTTAGTGAGTACCTTGTCTCCGGGTGGGGAAAAAAAATTGCTTGAGGGTATAACTCAATGATAGAATGGTTGCCCAGCATGTACAAGGCCCTGGATTCAATTCCTATCGCCCTCCCCACACCAAAAACAAAACAAACAAAAAAAAAAAAAAAATGGGGAGGGAAGGCTGTGAGGGATCAGAAACTCTGGTATCAGGAGAGTGGTAGGTTTTATCTGTGACCCTGCAGGTGGGAATGGGCACCATTTTCCAACTGAGACCTGAGACACTGAGGAAGCTGTCCAGAATTTCACTATGCACGGCAGCCCTGCAGCCCCTGGCCCTGGATTAGCTGATCCATGTGTCCCTTTGGGAGACCAGGGGGACTTATCCACACAGGGGTTCTGGACTGGACTTCAGAGGTTGGCCAGTGGTTAAGGGTTAAGGACCAAGGAAAGGACTCATGATGGGAGGAACTTAAAGTCACAGCCTCAGGAGAAAAATGCCCTGGTGAAGGAGGCCACGTGAGCACAGAAGGCCACAGGGACGAGTAAAACAAAAAGGGCTGGTGGCTTTCAATATGTCTCTCTATGATGCCTTTATTTAAATTGATGCGCAAGTACACATAACTGGTATTCACACAAAAATTTATATTATTGCTTTAAATAGAAAGCTATGTGTAACTGAGCCTGCCTGACTCTCAAGAGAGGTGTGTTTTGCAGCTGCATGCTCCTTATGACTGTCTATTTCACCATCTAGTGGTCAATCTTAGAACTGCATGCAACAAAATCCATCCAGCCTGTTCCTGAGGTAATAAATAATATGAAAATATCTTTACCAACTTAGAACAGGCACTTTAATCCATTTCCCATTAACTCAAAATAATTGGAGTTAAACGCAGTTCTCCCCCATCTGCACATGACTTTGCAGGCCCCCTTGGTTGGTATCCTCTCCCCCTCCCCCCGTTGCCCCTGAGTAGTGGTGAACCCTTGTGCGGACTAGGCTCCTATAACTGGCCTTATGTATGCAGAAATCTAAACCAGTACTGACAGCAGTCTCTGAAGACATTCTTGGGCTTTGGGGGAACAGGAGGGCTAGGGTAGATAGCAACAGGCTGGACTTTGGGGTCCTGGATTCTGTCCCCTTTGCCAATATGATCTTATGTGATGGTCATTTTTGCCTTCTGAGTTCTGATTCCCCATCTTGCCTTGACCAGAAGTGACTCATGAGAAGAAGCTGCCTAGAGACCCGTTTGAAGGAATTTCTAGGGATAGTGTCTAGGCTCAGTAGCAAAAAGTTCCATGATCACATGATCAATTACCTATGTCTGCCCTGGGCGTTGATGGTGTGGCTGTTAATACATGGGGCATTTTCTATTCTTGAGTCCCCTCCCCCAGCTCAGATAGGGCAGAGCATCCTGGTCCCAGGAGACCTGCGGCTGTTTTCCTCTCCATGCACTCAGCTCAGACTCAGGAGGGTTTGTATAAACATGTAAGGCTGAGCAGGGAACAGCCCCTTCCAACCAACTGGGAGAGGAGAAAGGACCTCCCCCACTTTGTGAGAATCAGCCCTGGTTCTAAAAGTCATGAACCTCAAAAGAAAATGGAGGTCACGAATCCCATCCATTAAGAACCCCAAGAAGTATAAACACCCGGCTCTCAAAGGGCTCTTCAATGCAGGCTGTGGTGATGCTGACTCACACCTGTAATCCCAACGTCCGAGGACTGAGGCCAAAGGATTGCCAGCCTAGCTATATATCCAGACTCTAACAACAATAGCAGAAGTTTTTCTAACAATCAAAGCTTGAAGTTTACAGGGGATCCCATGATCCTCCTACATCAGTCTTCCAGGGGCTTGTTGCTGCAGAATGTCCTGAGGCTTTGCTAAAGCTGAGCACTGTAAGTCTCCAAGAGTGGCTGGAATGGGTGGTGTCTCCGGATGTGAGACCTTGTGTTTACCAGGCCCATGGAAGACATGCTGGGGATATTGTTCTGGGGTTGACCCTGGATGTGGTCCCTCAGGGAATGGAAGAAGAGTGCTTCTTAGGGGAAGATGTCCCCACTCAGCTCTAGGCTTGCGTCTGTCCCATCCTGGTCTCAGCAGGACCGTATAACTGGGTGAAGGTGCATAGGAGGGAGGCCGTGAGCTGTGCTGGTGAGTGGTGCATTAGGTCCACTCTCACTTGGGACCATGCCACTCTGGCAGGTGCAGAGACTCTCAGCTTGCCATTATGAAGATGAAGATAGCCATTATTTACTAAGCACTGACGGCATGCCACACACTGGGTTGGACACCAGATGTGCTGACTGTCCCCAGGGCTGACTGTTGATCCTCACCCAGCCCTGCTGACTATAAGGAGGCTGAGGCTCAGAGAGGTTAAGTAGTTTACCCAAGGCCTCCCAGTAAATAATTCTTGCCATAATTCGCACCCAGGCAGCCTGGGCTCAGAGCCTCTGTTCTGTATTGGTCCTCATTGCTCTGAAAGTCAACCTGGACATCCTCCCCCAAACAGTGTCTCATACCAGGTGCCATGACTACCAGCCTGGTATGGGAGTAGGGGTAGGCCAGCTAGGGCTCAGCACTGCAACTACTGTGGGTCACTCCAGGCCTCTCCCTCTTCTGCAGGCTGGCAGCCATTGCCCTGTTGGTGCTAGAGGATGAGGAGAGTGCCTTCTGGTGCCTGGTGGCCATTGTAGAGACCATACTGCCGGCTGAGTACTACAGCAAGACACTGATGGCATCTCAGGTGAGCTGACTGCATCTCGGACAGGATAGGACATGGCAGCCATTCCAGGCAATCCCCCAGAGTGGTTCCTTCAGGCCATCAGATCCTGGGCCTCCGTCTGTCCTACCCAGGGGCCTATAACCCCTCTCTGACTTCTAGAGGTTCCCTGTGAGCTGAGGGCCTGTAAGATTGTGAAGTCCTGCCCACCAGCAGGTGTGTTAGCCCAATGGCGATGCCATACCACCGGGAAGAGCTGCTTCCTGGGAGGGGAGAAAGAAAGTCATGCCACTTGCCATCTGCTAGTCCAGAACTGAGAGAGGCCACAGGGCGGCGGGGTAGGCAGTGGGCTGGGGTGATGGCCACTGTCTTTGCACATGCTTGTGGTTATGCCACAACCTGGGGCGTGCTGCTGCCCTGAATCAGGCAGAGCGGGGTTCAAAGCCGTTGGCTGTGTGACACCCCCCCCCCCGCATACCACCACTCTGAACCCCAGGCTGGCCTACTCTAGACTAGGAATAAGGTCACTGTGGACTTAAAAATTGTAAGTGTGTGTCGTGTCCCAGTCCCCCACCCCATTCTTGCTGAGGCAGCCTTCTGCCTTGCGCTTCTCATCTCTGACACACCCAGCCTCCCTCATCACCTCTGTGCCCCGCTGTCATGTGTGACACCCATCCCTCCTCCTGGGCTGCCCTTGATGACAGGGAGAGAGCTGGCTTGGACTCAGAAGGTTGGGGAAGAGACTGCATTGGGCCTCACAGAAAGGAAGGGCCTAAGAGCGGAACTCCATTCTCGATGCTGTCAGTGGTCAGGCTCCTCCCAGCCCCGTACTCTGCCATCCTCCGATTTGTCAGCTAGTGGTTTTAAGAGGGCTGCACCACCCTTAATCCTGTGGCCATGGTTTATGCCAGAAGAAGCAGACAAAGGTGGGCCTGGCCCTTCCAATCCACTTTCTACTTCCTGCTGAAATCTTAGAGTCAGAACTGTACCTTAGGTAATTGTGTATTTCACCTCTGGATCTTAATGTCCCTGGAAGGGACATGCATTGAGCAGCAGCAAGCTTACTTTGGTTTTATTTTGGTCATGGAGAATTTGCCACATTCAGAACCGTAGAAGAGGTAGGCAGCTTGGATTCCCTTCTCATGTCCCTGGTCTCCAGCAGAGGAAAGAAGCCTGTCCCCTGCCCTGACTACCTTGGTGTGGGTCACAGGCAGTCAGTTTTTTTTGGCTCTGATTTATCACAGATCTGGTGACTCCCTGGCTCTGGACTGGCCATGGTCTCTGCAGCTGCCATGCTTCTGACTGACAGGAAAGGCAGCCCTGTGCACTCACACTGAAGCCCAGACAGACTTGCATGGAGGGGAGGGGGCACAGCCAGGTCCTAGACAAGGGGGAGCAGGTGACACAGATCAGGACTCTGCCGGGGAGGAGGGAGCTGTTACAGGGATTGGGTAATTGGCACATCCACAGAAATAAATAAGCCAGAGCCGCCAGGAGAGGTCACTAGCAGCAGTGGCCTTCAGCTTCCTGCTCTCTGACATGGCAGGTCACTGTTCTCCCCGCCAGTATCTGTCCCAGGCCAATATGGGTCTAGAGAGGCAGCCTAGAGGAAAGATGCTCCTGGTTTTCTGTGCCTGTGAGCATGAGACTGGTTTCCTCCAACTGCCAGGAACATTGGCTGAGTGAAAGGGCACATGCCAAGGCCTGTTGCTCAACCTGGGTATTTTGCCTGTATTGGAAGCCATGGTGATGTCACTATCACACACACACACACACACACACACACACACACACACACACACACACACACGGTCCCTGGTACAAAGTAGGCCCATCTCAGCGGCTCTGAGCATATAGACTGATGGGGTCTGTAGGTGGGGGGGGGGAACGACAGCAGACGTGACAGGCCTGTGCTGCCTTCCAGGTGGACCAGCGGGTGCTCCGGGACCTCCTCTCAGAGAAGCTGCCCCGACTCACCACACACCTGAGGCAACACCACATAGACCTCTCTCTCATCACCTTCAACTGGTTCCTCGTGGTCTTTGCCGACTCGCTCATCAGTGACATCCTCTTGCAAGTCTGGGATGCCTTCCTGTATGAAGGGACAAAGGTGGGTATGCCTGGGCCAGCTGCCCAGCCATGCCCCACAGAATGGAAAGCCTGCCACCTGTCAGAGCCATTTGGGACACCTGAGAACACAGCTTCTTAAACTGTAAAGTGTTCTGTGCAATATGAGAGGACACAGTGGCCCCACCTTTGAAGTTGGATCTGGTCCAAACCTTGCCTATGACCTTGCCAGATCTTGGTGGGGTGCTGCCACCAGCAAGGTTGCTAGTGGGACTGACCCCTTGACTCGAGCAGGGAAGTGCTTCCATGTGCCCTGCAGAGGGCGGGTATTCAGGGACCAGGCATAAAGCCATGCTTCAAGCTGTGCTCTCTTTAGGTTCTTCTAGCCCTTTACCTCGTCTAGCCCTTCCAACACCCCCCCCCAAAGCCCCCAACCCCTGCCTGCTGGGAACCCACATTCCTGGAGTCTCGGGGCTTTTGAACAGTACTTCTGGGCTTCTGCACCCCACCTGAACCCCCAATGTGCTCCAGGTGGTGTTCCGATATGCCCTGGCCATCTTCAAGTACAATGAGGAGGAGATCCTGCGGCTGCAGGACAGCCTGGAGATCTACCAATACCTACGTTTCTTCACCAAGACCATCTGTGACAGCCGGTGAGCTGCCCACCTCCCTGTCATCATCCCCAACCTGTCCCTCCCCGCCCCCAGTTTAGGAAGCCCCAGGGCCATTCTACCTTTAGTCTGTCTGTGTCCTTGTACAGCATTCAAGGTTCCCAGCCCACCTTCACCCTGCCATCCACACCCAGGGTGTGGGACAACCAATCCCACCACCGATATTGCCCTTAGTTTCTCCCACTTGGAGTCTCCTGGCCACTTCCTCCCGCACTCCCACCACTGTCCTGGGACTGGTCCTTATCATTGAAGCTAAGCTACTACCATACCCCTCCCCCAGGGAACTGGGCAGCCCTTCCCTACTGGGCCAGATGCCTATTGATCTCCCACCAGCCTCAGCTCTGGATGGGAGTGGTCATCAGCTCATCCCCCCTCCCACCAATGTGAGCTCCAGAAGGCAGGGCCACCATCCCAGGGTGGACGGGTGTCAGGATGGGCCCAGAACCAGCAATCATTGCACTGACTAACTACACCTTCTTCCCAGGAAGCTCATGAGCATCGCCTTCAATGACATGAACCCCTTTCCTATGAAGCAGCTGCGGCAGCTGCGGGCAATCCACCAGGAGCGGCTGGAGGCCGAGCTGCGGGAGCTGGAACTGCTAAAAGCCGAGTACTTGGAGAGACAGGCATCCAGGGGCAGAGCAGTGCCCGAGAGCTGTGTCAGTGAGGATGAAGGAGAAGGCGATGGCTGACCTGCCACTCGGTTCCCCAAAGCCTTTGTTCACTTTGCTGTCAGGAGCACAGGCTACGGGCATGGACCAGAGGTCTGTGTGACCCTGGAGAAGGCCCTCCTCTCTGGGTCTTAGTCTCCCAGCCTTGCCAGACTGTATCACAATACCACTGAGCACTTTAACATGTAGGAAGGCAAGAGAACACCCTGGCTCACCTGGAGTGTTCTCTGAGGCATGACTGTTTCGGTTTGGTTTGGGTTTGATCTTTTGAGACCAGGTTTCATGGAGCTCAGGCTGGCCTCAAACTCACTATGTAACTGAGCCTGGCCTTGACCTTCTGATCTTCCTGTCTGAGGCATGTTGGCATAAAGCAATGTCCCTTTGATTGATGGCTCTCCCTTTAGGGCACACTCTCTTTTACCAGTGTCTCTGGGCAGGCTAAGGTGTCAGCACTGCACCCACTGGCACCCTCAGGCTCAGGGCCTTGGTCACCATACTGGCGGAACTCCAGATATAAGATCTGCATATCCAGGGCATCTGTCTGGGCAGTAGCCCCTCTCAAGTGCTACCTGGATCTGTGTTGAGGCCACCCTGCTCCAGGGGACTGTTTCTGGAGCCTCATGCCTTCCTTCTGTTTACAGCCAACAGAGGACACCCAAAGTCAAGGCTGGAGACACACCCACTGCAGTACAGGCCCTGTTGGCATCTGAGAGCCATGGTGTGTGAAGGTCTGTCATGCCTGGCACCCACCCACACACACACACACACACACACACACACACACACACCAGCTCCTGACCTGTGAGCACTCCCGCACTGGGGCTTGCCTGCCGCCTCTCACCTGCGACAGTTCCCATAGGGAGGGAGAACAAGGAGGAGTGGGGGGGGGGTCTTGGGACCCTGGCTGTACTCTGACTGGCACAGTAGCCTTACAGTGGGTCCCAGGTGAAGAGGCAGCCCAGCCCTGTGGAGCACGCAGGAGAGTGAATTTTGAGGCTGTGGCCTGGTGCAGGGAAGCGCCCAAGGCGGTAAGCAGCCTCTCCTAAAGGAGGCAGCTAGGTGGGGTCCAGATCTCCCAAAGACAGGTCAGACAGTGGGCTTGGGCTCTAGATTACACAGTCCCTTCTGCCCTTCTCTACCTCTCCATTTCCTCACTTCTCCCCAGAGGAGGGCTCTGCCCAAGTAGCGTGCTCCTCCTCAGGAGGTCAGACTGGCTTTCTTACCAAGCTACTATGCCTTAGAATCCTGAGCAAGCTTTGTTCCAGCAGTGTGGCTGGGCTTGCTGTCTGATGCTGTTGGGGCCACGGTGTTCTGATAACCCTGGGAGGGTTAGGGTTCTGGGACTCATTGTCTCCTCCAGCCCCGAATGAGGAGGCAGGCTGAGAACAGCTTGTCCTGCAACACTTGGCCCAGTGGCAGGGCACAGAGAAGTTAATGAACTCCAATGCCATTCAGCAGGGGAGCATGGGCCTGGCCTGTGAGGCTTGTGGGCACACCCATAGGGTTAATGCTAGGAAGAAAAAAGGGTAGCCATGTGTGGGGAGCACACTTAAGGTCCCAGCAGTCCCGATACACCCTGAACTACACAGCCAGACAGTGTCTCAAAAAACAAAACAATAAAAGGGAAACAGATGTGTGTGAGTTGCTTGAACTAGAACAGGGATGAAGAAGGGGTACAGGGTGGCCTGAGCCTGAGAGAGTATCTGGGCTGCTGCCGGAGTAGTCTGCACCTCCCTCAGGGGCCTGGGGCCTACCCCTAGTGTCAGGTTCCTTGCTCGCCCCACAGCTGCTGCCCCTTCCCCAGGGACCATTGCTTTCTAGGCTGATCCCATAGCTTCACCTTCCTACCCAGAACAGGGATGGGACTCCATGCTCCACCCCTCCCATCCCCGGACCAGCAGGCCTTATCACAGGGAACAAAGGGACTGGGTCAAAGGAAGGGCCTGGGGACCTGATAAACTCCTCAACCCGTGTGGGAGGGGCAAACTCCCTTCCAGACTAGCTTATAGACCCTTGCCCTAGGGGCTGAGTTGTCTCAGCACCCCACCCCCACCCCCAGACAGGGTGGGACAAGTAGATAGGAATAGAGCAGTAGATGGCATAAAGCAATGTCCTGGCTCTCCACCTTTAGGACAGAGATGCTCTCATTACCATTTTTACTCTTGGTACTCCATCCCCCCCAACATGGAGTTGGGCCTGGTCAATATCTTCGAATTAGTCATTGTTGCTCATCGCCTGTGGTGTCTGGCCACTGGTTGTGTCCCTGCTCAGTGTCCCCTTGTGTGTAACGAGTTGGCAGGAGCAGTCTTCCACACTTGGGGCAGGGTTAGGAGAAGGCAAAGGGAAGCAGGCAAGTTCTCCCCAGGCACAGATTTAGAATGCCTGTCAAACAACCACTGTCCCAGCCTTGGTACCTGGTACCCATGAGCAAAGGTTTCTTAGAAGGTGACTCTGGAAGGGGGAATGGTGTGAGCAGAGGCTCAGGGGAGTGACGCAGGGGGAGGGGCACCAGAGACCCTTGCCTCAGCCTTCAGTGAGTTGGGACATTCAGGTGACTCAGCAGCTAGCAGATAACACCTTAGTGGGCCTAATGTGACAGACCCAGTGAGTTCAGGGTTTTCTAGTTCTATCCCTAGAAATCATTAAAAAAAAGAAGAAGCTGAATGCAGCTCTCCTACTTGGGAGATGGGAGGCAGGAGAATTGCCAGAAAGTTCAAGGGACAGCCAGCCTAGAGAATACAAGTATGCAGCATGGCAGAAATAAGATGGGAGGAGAGAACCAACTAGAGCCAACCTCTACACAAAAGGCCCATGCACATGCATGCACATGCATGTAAAGAAATGATAAAAAATATTTTAAACCCCATAGAGCCATGAGTGCAGAGGTCCAACTGCTGCATGTTCACATCCAGTGTGTGCTGTGCACCTCTGCCAATGCAGCTCCCAGAAGCTGAGGGGAGTGACCCAGGGCACTGTGATTCAGAACCCTGAGGCAGGCTGTTCTAAGGAGATTAGAGACTCCACCAGAGCTGAGTGTGTTGGTATGATGGTGCACTCCTATAACCCCAGTTATTTGAAGCTGTAGCAAGAAGACAGCTAGTTCAAAGTCAATCTGAGCAACTTAGTGAAGCCTTGTTTCAGAAAAAAAATAAATAAATAGGAGTTCTCACATTGTAGTCCAATGACTTGTCTGGCATGCATAAGGCCATGTGTCACAAATGCATGCACACACACACACACACACACACACTAAATTAGTTAATAGAGCCTGCCAAGAACTTAGCCAGTCTCAACTTATCTATGAACTGGTATTATTGTAACTAGATAGAAGGGATTAGTAGATCAAATATAATAATATGTGTACTCAATATATACAGCACCTACTATGTGCCAGGCACCGCACTAGTGCCCTACCCCCAGCCCCTGCCACCACCACCAAATACATCACTACAGGCCACGAAGAACTCTTTCCAAGATAGGTGGCGTGGCGTGGTTATTATGAAAGACACGACGCATCTACCATGTTCAGTGTGCACAGGCTAGGCTGGGCAACAGCGCCGCCTACTTTCAGCCTCGAGAAAGGTCTCCCTCCAGGGTGCGCAGCCGCCCTCCACTCCCAGGTTCTCCCGCCGCCTGCGGAGCCGCGGTCCCTGCTCTCGCTGCGGGATCCAGCCAGGAGCCACCTGGAAGGCAGGCTCAGAGACTGTCTCTATCTCAGCAAGGGGAAACTGAAGATCGGAACTCGAGTCCCACCCAAAGCCTGCGGCTAGAGTGTGCGGGAAGCGAGAGCGTGTGCACCGGGACGGGATCCGAGCTGCGGGCAACGGGCGGCGCACAGGCGGGGCCTCCCAGTCCCGCCCTGCCCCGGCCCCGCCCGGCCCGGTCCCGCCCGCCGGGCTGCGCGGGGAGGCGGCGGCGCTAGGCGCGGGACTCGGCGGGCGGCGCGAAGCGCGGAGCGGGAGCTGGAGCCGCCGCCGCCGCCGCCACCTGCGCGGCCGCCAACAAGGTAGGGCGGGACCCGGCCGGGCGGGACGCGCGCTGCGCCCGGGCTGCGGCTAGGCAGCGGGAGGGATGCTGCCCCCGGCGCCACGGAGAGCTACCTTCCAGTCCCCCGCACGATCTCACACAAAGCCCTGCCCCGCTCCGGTCCTCAGTTTCCCCAACCGGATAGCGGTGCGGCCGCCCCTTCAGCGGGTAACTAGTAACTGCGACCCCCAGGTTTGGGATCCAGACGCTCGGGGCTAGTCCTCACCGCCCGCGCCTCCTGCCGCGGTGAGCGGCCCGCCCTGGGCGCGGCAGCCAGTCCCGACAGGCCCCGGTGTGGCCCTGGTGCCCGGTGGACCTGAGTCGTGATTGTTCTTGTACTGACGGGATTACCCGCGGGGCCTCAGCTTCCAGTCCCGGGAAACAGAGGAGGAAGCATCCCCACGTCCCTGCCGAGGCGACCTGGGCGCGCGGGTGGGGCGAGCAGTCCCAGACCAGCCTCGTCGCCTAGAGGTGGAGGAGGAGCCACACTCTGGCGGTGTGGCCAGATCTCAGCCACAGACCTGCCTGGACCCGAGCCTAGCAGACACCCACCTGCATTCAGGAGTGGGGAAGGATGGCCTGGTCTGCGCCTTGGTCAGCTGCAGGAGCCCAGTGCTGTGTACCAATCTGGCGGGACAGGGCTGATTCTGCCACACTCGGACCTCAGAGAGTCCGCTTGCCAGAAGGGCAGTGGCTCCTGGGGGGTGGGGGTGGAGTGGAGGGGGGGGGGACAGAGCACTTGTCTAGGTGCAGTGGCACCAGGGTCTGTGAAGTCTTCTGCCATTGGGGCTAGGACATCTATAAGATGCCTCTGGATGAAGGTCTTGTGTTGCATTCTTCTTGAGATGGAGTAGCTCACTAGGTGAAACTGGGGCATCTATCTGCTCCCACTGTGGCTATAGTCCTGTTAGTGTCCTTTAGACAGCATATGGCCCTTCTGCCCCAGAGCCTGCCCTTGTACACACGGTCTAGGGGCTTGTTCATAAGCACTTGTGCCTTGTCATAGGAATGTGCCCTCACCTCCTAACATCTCTGTGGCATGTGGAGGGAGAGATGGACCTGGGCCATCTCTGGACCCTTCTGCTTCATTTCCTGGCATCTGCCCCAGTTAAGGAACAGGTTCAGCGCCTGCTGATCTCCTGTCTCCCTCCCCCTCATCCAAGGGCTTTCTTAGGGCTAAAAGAGGGAACTCCCCCCACCCCCCAGCCTCAGCGCAGGTGGTGAACCCTGTGTCATCCTAAGTATACAAGCAGAGGGCTGGATGGGCATTATGGGGTGGTATTCCAGGCCGAAGCATAGTGGCAGGAGGCCCTGCCCCACGGCCTCCCTCCTGGAGCTTCACTGCAAATGAGTGTTATT